ATTTATATTTATATTCATATTCATATTCATATTCATATTCATATTCATATTCATATTCACATTCACATTCACATTCACATTCACATTCACATTCACATTCACATTCACATTCACATTCACATTCACATTCACATTCACATTCACATTCACATTCACATTCACATTCACATTCACATTCACATTCACATTCACATTCACATTCACATTCACATTCACATTCACATTCACATTCATATTCATATTCATATTCATATTCATATTCATATTCACATTTATATTTATATTTATATTTCTTTTTCAGCTTGCATGGAGGGAGCGCCTCTCAGTACAGTGACCGAGATAAAACTTTACAACTTTCAACGTGTTATGGTATATCCCACGAATTGGGGGTGGTTTAGTTAACTGCCGCTGCAAATAGGGTTCAGTCGAATATTGTCCTTTATTAACCGACTTCAAAAAAGAAGGACGTTCTCAACTCGACTGTATTCTTTTTATGTTTGTTCCATCAGAACTTTCGACTGAGTGAAACGTTTTCGATGATTATTTTTTTTATTTGAAATCTGGTGCTTCCCATGTGGTCCTGTATTAATTTCGTTGGTGTTCAATTTTATTGGAACCCCTGAAAATCAATTATAAAATGAATACAGAGCGAGATATTTCGAGCGATTATGTCGGTTTTGTTTTTCGTTAGTAGAAAAAATTTACTTGTTGTCTCCCGCGACTTTTGCGTTGCCTTATCATTATATTAACAACCGTACCGCTTCTGGCAGAAGTAAGCGGCAAGAAAACTTATATCACTCAGTACGTAGTGCTCATAAAAATGGATATTTATTAAAACTTATAACTTTACATTAAATGTAGATAGCACAATTGAGAACTCCGTGGCGCAGTTGCCAAGGTATTGGCTTCGGCGTCGGGGGTCGTGGGTTCGATTCTCACACGGGACAACTATTTGTGTGACCCACAAATAATTGTTTCGCATCTGGGTGTTTGTCCACGTGAAATTTATGTTTGTAAAACGTCCTTACAACACAGGATAATGTTATCCTAAAGCAAGGGCAATGTTTCTTTTTAAAAGAAAAAAAAGAACAATATTATGTATGTATTAATTGTATATACCAATGTATACGTATATATATAATGTCCGCAGCTCATTGTCAACTAAAATTAAAGTTTTGCCTTTTCAGTTTCTGTAGTCATATTTTATTTAAACCGAAAAACGTATTTTATATGATTTATACCGTGTTACCGGCAAATGAAATATATGGATAGTCACTACATAGTATAAAACAAAGTCGTCCCGCTGTCTATCTTTCCCTATGTATAATAATAAAATAATAATAATAAAATATACTTATTCACATAGACGCTTGCGCGTTTTTATGAAACGTCGAAATTTTACAAGGAAATTAATTAATATGTTCATAAGTTACCACCGTTTCGTAAGTATGCATAGATCTTTAAAACTACGCAACGTTTTAATTATGTGAGGATGTGGCAAACGAGCTGACGGTTCACCTGATGTTAAGTGATAACCGCCTGTCCATGGACGTCTGCAACACCCGTAGGGTTGCAGATGTGTTGCCACCTCTTAGTTAAGTGGGCTACCTCGCTCACCTACTTTACGCCGGTCTTCTGTGAGGTTCTGGTAGGTACTAACCCGGATGGACCTGCCCATTCGTGCAACAGCTAACACTGTTGCGTGGCCCTACCACGGTAAAAGAGTGATTTAAAAGGAAGGTTTATATGTATAATATTGTATTGAACCCTTGTGAAGCCGGGGCGGGTCGCTAGTAAATAATAAAAATAAAACTTTGAAGCATGTGTTATATTTCCCAATTCCAAAAATGTAAGGTATTTTAGATTAGTATATACGTTCATGGCTGTTGCAGTTCAACTTAAATTCTATAAACAAAGCAACATAACTGCTTTATTTTAGTACCCAAAAGGTAAACGTAAACGACCCTATTACTAAGACTCCGCTGTCTGTCTGTCTGATTGTTCGTCTGTCACTAGGCCGTATCTCATGAACCGTGATAGTTAGACAGTTGAAATTTATATTGCAGCTATAACAACAAATCCTAAAAGCAGAATAAAAAAATATTTTAGTGGGGTTCCCATAAACCAGACATGATTTTTCGCACTTGGACAGTTTTTTCAACGGTCACACGTATCGAATCGTTGTCACCGAATTCTGTAAAAGCTTAACTCCAGGAACAATGTATAGAGATATGATAATGTGAGAGATATATGTAAAGACAGTGTATTCGGAGACTCTTCGGTAAATAAACTCGAGACATAAATGTATAAAAATCAATCAATTATTTAATGTATTATAAATGTTGACATCTGATATAAATAAGAATTGAAAGCTTTTTATAGAGCGGTAAATGCTTGAGATTTAAGTTCTTGTTCTTTATGTGAAAAGTTGCCAAGTGAGCAGATGGTTCACGTGATGTTAAGTGATTACCGCCGCCCATGGACATCTGACGCCCGAGGGTTCCAGATGCGTTGACAACCTTTTGAAAACTGGACTCCGGCCACCTCACTCAACAGACGAAACGCGAAAATGTTTGTCATACACTTTACGCCGGTCTTCTGTGAGGTCGTGGTACTTACCCGGACGAGCCTGCCTATTTGTGCAACAACCGAGGCTGCTGCGTGGCCCTACCACCGTCAAAAGTGCTGTCCAATCAGTGGTAAGCCGCAAATGGTATGTGTCGATTGATGGCTTTTGGAAAGAATATCGGCTCCAATCATTCAAACGAAATCTCCGCACGCATGTACATGTACATGTTACCCATGTAACTTACATATATTCATACATATATATGATAGTAAAAGGACATATATTTCAGTACATTTTACTTATTTGAAAAACTGGCAAGCGAGCCTGCGTTTACCTTAGGTGATCACCTCCACCTGTGAACATTTACATGAGGGGATGTTGATTAGATACATTGGTGGGTTAGCAATTAATACGTGGATCCCGGGTAATTCACACAGCGGACAAAACGCCAAAGTATAATTTTTCCACTTCATGCTGGTCTTCTGTTAAATGAATGGATATATGATTGCCTTTTCTGTAGAGAAACCTTTAGGAAAAATTTGAATTATTAAGTTATTTATTTATACTAGTGGTCGCCCCTTGGTATTTTATAGTCTAATTTCGACCAAGGGGCGATGTTCGATATACACGGTAGTGTGTGTAATGCTTTTTTCCCTGATTTTAGGTATTTTAATGCATAATTTAAAAAAATATTAGCATTCTGCACTCCGTCTCTTTAAAATTTCATACTCCGTCCGCGCAATTTTCGTAAAAATGCCTACAAAGTGTTTCCTTCACGTATTAATATATAGATTATTTATTTTTTTACTTTTTTATTATTTCAAAGCTTTGGTATAAATCTTTCCAAATGTGAAGATACCAGGTTTGTATCGAAATCTATTTTTGTCTTATCGTGAAATTCATCTATGGATAATAATTTATGAATTTTCAGACTATTTTATTTGTACAAGAAGACTGTCTTACCCACATTCGTATCACGTTCTAAACAAAATAATGTCTAGTAACTCAATCATATATTAACAGAAATTTAATAGGAATTCTCTCCGGGCTTAAATGTTACCATTAATTCACTTTTTTGATGAACAAACTCTGTCACAGTGTAAATGCCGCATGTAGATGTAAATACGGCTAACCACGAAATAAAGTGCCACAGCACATGCTAAGGAATTTCGTTTTTATTTAATAATTCGTTAATAACTTCTAAAGTATTAAAATACGTAGACGTTTATACTTCAATAAAATAGAATACGTTATATAAAACTAAACTTTTACAACGCTGACTGTAATGAGATATATCATAAAACTAAATTTGTCGATATTGAATCGATCGTTAAACCGTTAACATACACAACATAACGCACTCTATAAATATCGATCAGCGTTTTTCTTTTAGCATCTTAATTGAGTTTTTGTTTTGTGAACATAATATGAAAAATATGCTATCGCATTACTTGTCTTTTTTTTTTTAAAATATCCTACAGATTAATATTTCATAGAGCATTTTTAGGCATCAGAAAAGTAAGATATACCCAACGTTGACGGTGTTCCTACCATACATCAATTTACATCAGAACGTGTGTCATAAAAATAAATGAAGAAGAAGAAACATCGGAGGGCATGCCGCGCGCGACCGCCTCGTAGCGCGCGCCCGCTCGAGTGAAAGCCAAGCTCGCCTGAAAGCGTAGCCGCGGCGGGCGGGCATCCGCCTAAAATGGGGTGATCGGGCGCCACGGTGTCGTGTTCCCGGTATAAAAGCCAACGGAGCACCCCGCCGCCGGTCAGAACGGCTTCAAACGTAAGTACGCGCGCACGTGCATGCCCCGCGCGGTTACGTCGCGAGTGTGTCCTGTGACGTCACGGGTGCGCCCGTAATTTGGATTTTGTGCAAGTGGCCCAGTGGGTGACGTTTGTTTATTGTTCGTTGTGGGTGATGGTCGGCGAGTGTCCACGTCCGGCCCGACTGTCGTAGCGCCCGTCAGGCGGCACACTAACAGACACACACACACAGAGAGACACGAATAACGAAACGCCGAGGTACAGCCAATACATAATACTGAAAACACAACAGCCCGCGGGCGGTAGTACAGTCGGGCTCGGCTCGACGGTCGGCCATCGCCATAAAAGACAATAAACAGCAAAGCACCACGACGGGCCGAGTCCTGGCGCGGTTCCAGCGCGCTCGTGACGTAACGCGAAGGAACCAGGGTGGCCGGTGGGAGCGGGCGCACGGAACTCGGCCGTTACGCAAACTGCGCCCGCGCTGGCACCGTTCCCAAACCGGCCTACTCGGGTTACCTCTACAAATAGACGCGCGGGGCACTCGAGTCCGCCGCGAGCCCTCAGTCCAGTAACGTCCGTTGTGCTTCGCAGGAAGGCTCCAGGGCTGTGTTCTCGTGTCTCGACTAGCCCAAGCTCTCGTTAGCCCTCCGAAATGCCGAAGCCAATTGTTCAAGAGGGTGAGGACCCCGATCCGACTCCGTACCTGTTCGTCTCACTTGAACAGAAACGTATCGACCAAAGCAAGCCCTACGATGGCAAGAAAGCTTGCTGGGTACCAGACGAGAAGGAGGGCTTCGTGCAGGGTGAAATTAAGGCCACCAAGGGCGACCTGGTGACCGTCAACCTTCCCGGAGGCGAGGTAATTATGACCAACGATCGTCGGCGACGAATCACGAATGGATTCAACTGTGTCAATCGAAGATTAGTTTTAAATTTGTTCCAAAAATAGAATATCTTTACATTAATCAAGTCCAAATGTGATAATTATAATATGGAGTCACTATTACCACTTTGAAATAATTAGATATGGAAATAGTACAATATTTATGCACTATACAGTTACAGATGTTACATAAAAGTTCAAAGTTTTAATTAAGGCCCGTCTAGTTTGTTTGTGTACATGTACTTAACACATTTGTTGAATGAGCAGGAGAAGACGCTTAAAAAGGAACTCCTCTCACAAGTGAACCCGCCGAAGTTCGAGAAAGTCGAGGACATGGCCGACTTGACTTATCTTAACGAGGCTGCCGTGCTCCATAATCTCCGACAACGATACTATGCGAAACTGATCTACGTAAGTAGGCGCTAGATGCGCCTTTACCACTATATCCATACTGATCTAATTGTCTCTCCCGCAGACGAAAGACTTCAAGAAGGATCTTGTAGCTCAAGTCAACCCGCCTAAGTACGAGAAATGCGAGGATATGTCCAACTTGACATACCTCAACGACGCTTCGGTTTTGTATAACTTGAAGCAGAGATATTACCATAAGCTTATTTACGTAAGTCAGGATTCCGGTAGGGAGTTGCAGCGTTCAAGTGTGCACCGTGCATGAGGCCAAATCCACTTCTCCCTGTCTCTTCTCTTACCCTCTCAATTTGAAAGCGACCTATCTAACGAATAATGATTTGTGATAAAGTAAACAATGAAAAGCTATATGTTGACGATAATTCAAAAACATATGTTTGCTATTCAAGTACAATTTTACGTAATAGATCTATTAAATCTGTCTTACTATGAAGGCATTGAAATACTTTCATAGGTAAATTTATACCATTTTGTAATATAAATTCAGCCTCTTAAATTTACTTGTCCACTTTATTTTTGCCATTGAAATACTAGTAATTTTAAAATAACATGACAACCATTTTTACATTTTTTTAAATAAATTTATTGAACTCTATATATAATAATTGAGTTCAATAAAAAAAAAGATAATCTTGAGTCGCTTTAAAAGTCTACCAATTTCCCGATTTCCCTATCTATGCTGCAATCCATAGCCGAACTTGAAACCTTCTACACAGGACAAGTCGGTGGAAAGGACACGGGCGTCCGGAGGATTCGTCTTTCTACTCCTTAAAATAGATTTTCAGTGTTGTGTTCTTCTGTTCTCTTTAGTGGTTCGTTTAGATGCATTGAGATCCTTTGAATATCAAACGGTTCTCACACATTGGATGACGTGACGTCCAATGTCGACTTAGAATATGCTTAGAATATGCAGGTACCAACAGTGGTCTTTGCGGAGCTTTCGATTGTTATTCTAAATAAATAAATACATTTAAGAATGATTTTAACTAACGTGAATGAAACTGGATAAAGTTGTTAGTGCAGGAAGCTCCATTAAGAATACTGTTGTTTCATATTTTGCGCACAGCGAGTCAAAGTATCGGTACAATACTCTCTCTGTGCTGGTGTGTATCGTTGGAAGTTGTTTTGTTTCCTCCTTTAGTATTCGTAAGCTTTGTATGTAGGTTTAAATTCATTACATTTCATCCGTCACTACCATCATCACCTTTAAAATTTTATCGAAGTCCACATTCATTCAAGTCATTGCAAAAGATAGAACAATTCACATTTTTAAAAAAATCATTCGATGAATGACCAAATCAAGTGAGTCAAGGCAAACTATTGAGTTTAAAGGCTAAGAAATTCTATCCCTAATCTGCTTCAATTCATTACAAATTATCTGAATATCACAAGTCTAAAATAAATGTAATTTCAAACGATAACCTTTTATAACAACGGCGGCTGGGAATACTCCGTTGTTGTGCGAGAAGTTTATTAAGAGTTGTCTGGAAAGTTCTAGAACCTCGAGCTTTCTTCTTTCATCAGCCTTCCCATCACATGAATTCCTTTATTTCCTTCATCTTTTTCTCACTCCTCATCATTCATTCATCTTTTATCACCAAGACTGGTTCCACCGGTTTCCACCACCACCATGAACACAGCCGTATCATCGCCGCTCTCATTAACTATTCGCATATCAACAGACTTACTCGGGCCTCTTCTGTGTGGCCATCAACCCCTACAAGAGGTTCCCCGTGTACACGACCCGATGCGCCAAGCTGTACCGAGGCAAGCGTCGCTCGGAAGTGCCGCCCCACATTTTCGCCATTTCCGACGGCGCTTACGTCAACATGTTGACCAACCACGAGAATCAATCTATGTTGATTACGTAAGTTAAATTCAAAATCAAAATCGTTTCATACAATTCACCCTGGTTCGCAAATTTGTAACAGCCCGGAAATGAACTAGTGAAAAACTTAGATTTATATTGCATTAGTTGACTTCTCGTTCTTTATCATTGTTAAAAGACCCTTACCTCTATATGCTAGTCTCTATAAAAATCTCCTTATTCCCATAATAAATTTTAGGACGCAAAGCATTGTCTTACATTATTAAATTTTCTTACTTATCTAGCTTTTTAAAAATTTATCTATTTTGAATGATGAAGTATAAAAACTAGTGTCTTAGAACCTACGATTAAAAAAATCCATAAATAATAAGAGAAGTAACGCCAGACGCTTTTGACCCATTTACCAGACATCAAAAGCATCTAATTAGCGCTGGATTACATAATGTTGATCTTTGCTCTATTGCATTGTGTAAGTAATTATTCCATATAAAATACGTCTCCCGTAGAATCATTGCACACGACTAATAAATTAATTACCCAACAGCGGTGAGTCTGGTGCCGGAAAGACTGAGAACACGAAGAAGGTAATTGCGTACTTCGCCACCGTCGGTGCGTCGCAGAAGAAGGACCCGTCCCAGGAGAAGAAGGGCTCGCTGGAAGACCAGGTCGTCCAAACTAACCCCGTTCTTGAAGCCTTCGGTAACGCCAAGACCGTGCGTAACGACAACTCTTCCCGATTCGTAAGTACCACTTTTATTATTTTTTTAATATCACTTTTTACAATAAGAGAATTTTACATGCCATCCATTACCTCGATTTAAGAATGCAAGTCTTATGAATTCATATATTGATTAATATTTACATTAATACTTGTTTCATTAGAAGAGTAGAAAGTTATCTTCTTATATATAAAAATGGATTGCTGTTCGTCAATCTCGCTAAATCTCCAGAACGGCTTGACCGATTTGGCTAATTTTGGTTTTGAAATATTTGTGGCAGTCCAGGGAAGGTTTAAACGATGAGAAATTATGCAAAAATTGCATGGAAAATTGAAATAGTGGCAATTTTATTTTCCCATACAAACTGTACTTGTCAACCTGTCAAACGATTTTTGAACGCGTTCCGATTCCTCTAGAAATAATATATACGGCAAAACAACGTTTGCCGAGTCAGCTAGTTTGATATAAAATTTTCAATGAACGAATGAAAACACTGCGCTAAACTCTTATGGCATAAGGTCCTATCAAGTCGTTAAGTTAAATGGTAAATATCGTTTTTCTCCTTGCCCAGGGTAAATTCATCCGTATCCACTTCGGACCTTCCGGTAAACTGGCTGGTGCCGACATCGAGACCTGTGAGTATTTGATCATTCAACTTACACTTGGCTTAAGATGTTTCCTAACCAACTTTATATTTTACCAGATCTGCTCGAGAAGGCTCGTGTCATCTCCCAGCAAGCCCTGGAGCGTTCTTACCACATCTTCTACCAGATGATGTCTGGCTCCGTTGCTGGACTTAAGGGTGCGTAAAGACACTAGCAGTGTCTATCGTATATCAAATGATCAAATTGATTTCAAATATTTATAGTCATTATATACAGTAAATTTGACAAATAATACACAATAACTTCTGTCAGAGTTAAAATTTTCCAAAATTTTAAATTTAAATTATTAACTTGAAACAAATACATGGTTATATCTCTTAATATGATATACGATAATTTCTTTTTCATAAGCAAACAAACTTGCTGTGCTGATATTTTTATAATAATAATTATTATTACAAATATTACACTTCACAAAAACCTGCATAACATCACTGCACATACCGTTAGAATTTAGTACCCCTGATAATTTACATGAGTTTCACCATTTAGAGATGTGTCTGCTGTCAAACGACGTATATGACTATTACATCGTATCGCAAGGAAAAACTACCATCCCGAACGTGGATGATGGAGAGGAATGTATTTTGACCGATGTAAGTGAGCCTTCAACTGACTTGAAGGGCTTTGAGCGGAGTTGACGATTGTTGTTTGTTTGCCCCCCTTTTCCGAAACGACGAGTTTCGTACAACCCACTGACGATGGGCGCATCTCGCCTCGGAACCGGCATGAGATGTCATATAGAATAGTTTATCCCGATAATGTAGAGCATGTTTATACCTAAGTTACCTGTAGTTGTGGCGCACCAAATACCAAACGTGACTGTAAATGGTGTCATTTTATAGCCATCTGCTTATTGTCCAACGACATCATGGATTACAACATCGTATCCCAAGGCAAGACTAGTATCCCTGGCGTTGATGACGGCGAGGAAATGAAGCTTACCGACGTGAGTCCAGGATAAGACTGCTGGCTCGTCTCATTTCACTATGCGAAAACCTTTCCTTCTACTTTCTTGACTCTTTCGCTTGCTTCGCTTATGGCCGAGCTGAAACTCGGTGCCCGCATGTGTATGTCAGACCACTTGGTGTTTCCAGAGCTAACGATGCTAAGCAACCGCATCGGGGACTATCCCCACATTAGTCAGGGGAAGACCCGGATACCTGGTGTCAACGACGCAGAAGAGTTCGATAAGACGCTCGTAAGTCTCGAACCGGCGCATGGAGCGTGCGTCCAGATTCAGTTATTCGGTCTAGTCCTCACTAAACCTCTGACATTCACATGGTTGCACGCTTTCAGCACAAGTTAGAATGAGCTCACTGCACAGGTTTGTTCACACGAAGTACGTCCGCTCTCGATCCAGCACAAGCACGCCCCACATTAATATTACTCAGAGACAATCACGGCTAAATGAAACACTAGGTACATTTCAGCGTTGTGGAGGAATCGTGGCCGCGGATTTGTTTGTAACTTAAACCTTTGATTTCTACCAACAGACATGTGTATGTTATCCGACAACATATATGATTACAATAACGTCGCTCAGGGTAAGATTACCATCCCGAACGTCGATGACGGCGAAGAATGTGTATTGACTGACGTAAGTGTAATAGGAGAGATTTCGGGTTGCCTCTGCGAAAAGCCACGAGACGCTCTTTGGATATTCCGTAATGATTTAGACCTTAGAATAGAATTTCGACCATTTCCCAACCGTGGTAATCATGGCAGATGAGCAATGATCCATAAGTTTATAGAAATAGTAGTGAGCACGTTAGTGGGGGTGCATTATATCCAAGTGTACTGCTCCCCTCCCGATTAAGCAACTCCTGTGCACTAGTTCAATATATTTTGTTCAACTAATTCCGCCTTAATGCTTTTTTTATCTATTTTAACAATATTACTAACGCTTTACCCATAGTTTTCTTTACATTTAATAAGATTATATTGCATTCTATTGTAAGTATCATATTTGTTACTTTTTTTATTATTCTTTATTACACGATAAAGACTTTGCTTGTACGTTTGAATGCAATTTTTAAAAGTTTGATTTTTTCTGTATGTCAAAATGTTGATGTTTCTATATATGTTTTAGTGTTGTTTTTTTTTCCAAAGACGCTAACATATCGTATTAAATTGTAGCAAGCCTTCGACATTTTGGGTTTCACCCAAGAAGAGAAGGACAATGTGTACAAGATCACCGCCGCTGTCATGCACATGGGCTGCATGAAGTTCAAGCAGAGGGGTCGCGAAGAACAGGCCGAGGCTGACGGCACCGAGGTGATTATTGCTATTTTAGCCACTTACTTTATATGTCAGTCAATTTTGATTTGCTTCTGACAATGCATACTATGTACATCTCACAGTTTATGAACTAAAACAGATAATAATAGATTATTGAACTGATTGCCTAACATAAGAAAATACTAATGCTCTGTTATTGTACATTAATATTTTTAAGACATTCGTCATCCACAGCTAATCTACCGCTCCAATGACATAGCTATATACAAATGTTTAATTTCTTAATATATGTTAACAGGACGGTGACAAAGTCGCCAAGCTGCTCGGTGTTGACTGCCAGGACTTGTACAAGAACTTGTTGAAGCCCCGCATCAAGGTCGGAAACGAGTTCGTGACCCAGGGTCGTAACAAGGACCAGGTCACCAACTCCGTCGGAGCTCTTTGCAAGGGCATGTTCGATCGTCTCTTCAAATGGCTGGTGAAGAAGTGTAACGAGACCCTAGACACCAAGCAGAAGAGGCAACACTTCATTGGTGTACTGGATATTGCCGGTTTCGAGATCTTCGACGTGAGTATTAGTTTCAACGGTTGTGGCCTGCAACAGTACATATGGACGTTAAATATCACTTCCAAGTGATCACCGAAATGACTAAATTTATAAAATATTGATGATGATGATGTTTTATTTCACAGGAATATTTTTTCTTCTGCTGAGGTGTGACACTTATAACAGAAATGAACATTTTTAAAAAAAGTTAAAAGTGCACGAATAACTACTTGGTTCGAATCCTGTATGTAAATATTTTGGGTTAAACTTTTGTTATCTTCGTAAGTTTGTGACCAAAACGATGTGTATTCGTATTAGGAAAACTTACAAAATGGTAAACTTTTGTTTAAAGCACTTTGATAATTTTTGTTTATTTATTATAATTGCAATCAACAATATGAACATCAGCAAGAAGAGAAGAACATTATCAATAATTTCTTTGATATTAATCTAAATTTACTCCTTTAGTTCAATGGGTTCGAACAACTTTGTATTAACTTCACAAACGAGAAACTGCAACAATTCTTCAACCATCACATGTTTGTGTTGGAGCAAGAAGAGTACACAAGAGAGGGAATTCATTGGGAGTTCATTGACTTTGGAATGGACTTAGTGGCCTGCATTGACCTTATCGAAAAGGTATATAGGGTCTACGCAACCCTCGGCTGGGCGTAGAGCCTCTACAGCGCTATCAATGTTTTGTCAAGCTATCTCTCAGTACCCTGCTGACTAATTAATATGTGTAGCTTAATGTTTATAGTGTAGAACTTGTCTTAACAGTTTTTAATTTCCTCTCCATTCATCTGGGTTTCGTATTGTTTATAAAAGTACAACGGTTTCGAGCAACTCTGCATTAACTTCACAAACGAGAAGCTCCAGCAGTTCTTTAACCACCACATGTTCGTACTCGAACAAGAAGAGTACAAGAAGGAGGGCATCGACTGGGCCTTCATCGATTTCGGAATGGACTTGCTCGCTTGTATCGATCTTATCGAGAAGGTAATAGGTCACGCGTCGCTGTTTAGCCCGTCGCCGTTAGTGGACAATTGGAGGCGGGAATTAGTTTTGTTCCAGCCGCTAGTCTATGGAGATAGATGCGGTACCTAGTTCGATCGTTTGAAACACTCGTTAGTCTATGGGGATAGACGCGACTCCTAAATCCATCACTTATCCTAATGCCACCCTTATGGTCCAACCAAATACGGAATGCGATCCGTACTTGTTGTGTCTTGTACCATAAACCCCTAACATTCCTTATTAATTGTCTACCTGCAGTACAACGGTTTTGAACAACTCTGCATTAATTTCACCAACGAGAAACTCCAGCAGTTCTTTAACCATCACATGTTCGTACTGGAGCAAGAAGAATACCAGCGCGAAGGCATCGAGTGGACTTTCATTGATTTTGGCATGGACCTTCAACATTGCATTGACCTTATCGAAAAGGTATATGGCGGCAACGCAACAATGAACGCTTGCATCTCGCCATTACCTCCGAGTAAAGCCCTTCAAATATTCCACGTTACGCAGCTGTGATTTGGATATTTCAAAGGTTTTACTCGTTGGTCCTAGTGACGCTAAATGCTCACTGTTTTCTTTTTGAGTGTTCCCCGTGTGTTCTTCTGTATTATTTCCAATAATCCTTTACTTTACTACGGTACATGTACAGACACACATACACTACACAGGCCAACAGTAAGTATCCATTTGGCCAATTTAGATATTTTTTTCCATGTGTCTGCACGGTCCAGACGAACGGCTTTAATCAGCTCTGTGTTAATTACGCCAACGAAAAGTTACAACAGTACTTTAACCACTTCATGTTCATCTTAGAACAAGAGGAATACGAAAGTGAAGGGATTCGATGGACCTTCATAGACTTTGGTATGGACCTTCAGCCGACGATAGATTTAATAGAAAAGGTATTAGAAGTATTTGATTTACGCTTTAGACAGTAGGAGATGGTAGCAGATGCTTTAGGCAAACATATTAAATATGATCTAGCAAGTGTAATAGTATAAGTAACTGGAATCGAAGTTCTAAATATATAGATAGCACTAAGCGATAAAAAATACAGTAATTTCATAACATATAATGATAATACTATGGTAAATTACATCGCTGTTAGTTATTTAGATGCTCAGTTAGTACACCTACATATTATGCATATAATAATTAGAAAAATAATTTAATTCACTGTTACCATAGACTTAACACCATGCCAGATTTTCTGTAGTATAGAGGTCCGCTTACCCCTATAACGAAAGAAATATTTTTGCTCTCACAAACGATTTTTATTGCAGAGCACCAAAATAATTGTTTTTAGAGCACCAAAAAATTATTAACATTTAGTACAAGATATTATTTGGTGGCACAATACACGCACAATTTTTCTTCTATTTGCATGTTGCTTCCAATTTTAACGCATAACATCTATTATTATGAGCCACACACATGAAAACACAAATCGATTTTTAAATTCCCCTATGCGTAAATCTTTTAATAGAAATTGGAAAAAAAAGTATGATATTACAGTTTTTATTTTAGACTGTCCCTATATTAAAATTTATACTCAATAATGATACACTTGCACACTATATTCAAAATATCAGAGCTATACGGTTAGGCAACGTTCCTCTATCTAATCTTCTTGGTACGATTTCAGCCCATGGGTATCCTCTCCATTCTTGAGGAAGAGTCTATGTTCCCCAAGGCTACTGACCAAACCTTCATTGAGAAGTTGAACAACAACCACTTGGGCAAGTCTGCACCTTACCTGAAGCCCAAGCCCCCCAAGCCCGGCTGCCAAGCCGCCCACTTCGCCATCGGCCATTACGCCGGAAATGTAAGTATTAAAACGTGGATAACACGATTTTTTAAACAGTGATAATACCACACAAATTTTCACCCCAGTATAGCAAATATTCCTGTTCTGTACGAATCTATGTGAACTCAACAAAACTCTTTGTACATGTTATCTAGAAGACATCGTTGTAACCCGTACACTGTGTCCCACAAAATAGGTCGGTTACAACATCACCGGTTGGCTTGAGAAGAACAAGGACCCTCTTAACGACACTGTCGTCGATCAGTTCAAGAAGGGCGCCAACAAATTGTTGGTTGAGATCTTCGCTGACCATCCTGGCCAGTCTGGTGATGCTGGTGCTGGTGGTGGTGGCAAGGGTATGTATATTCAAAACGATTTAACACAATTGATCAATTATTAAATTTAACATTTCTTAAAGAATTTTTAGCAAATTATCTTTAATGTTGAATATCTTTGAATGATAAGCAGCGAGTGGGTACGTGAGCTGTAAAATACTTCTGTGAACATACAATTTGTTAAGATCATATCATTTTAGTACTAACTCATTTAGCTTCGGGCAAAAGTAACAACGAAATCATCAGAAACCTTCACACGTTGGATCCTGCTTAGATTCCACTTGACTGGAGTCGATGATCGTCATTGAAAACATTTCAAAAAGAATAAAAATATATCATATCGTTACTTTGTTACTGACATATGTTTTTAAATAAATCAGGCGCTGGAGGCAAGCGCGCTAAGGGTTCTGCCTTCCAGACTGTGTCTTCACTCTACAGGGTAAACTTGAATACAATGTTCGAGATTTGCTTCTGTCCTCTATGTAGCTTCACTGTCCTCGTCTACAACACGCATGGGACTGGCTTCCTTGCATTCATCGTCAAATGCAATATGGTACTGCCTTATCAGTTTCAAAAACTTTTGTACGGCTTGACGATGTTGAAACAGGGAGCCAGGCCTCCACGCTTTCACATAAATCACTTGTCCATGTTATTGTATGTTTTACAGCACAGCTTATGTTGCCGTGTCTCGCGGATTTATTATCAACGTGTCTTACAGCCATTTGTCTAGTCCTGTGACGTTCTGTGATCGTCCTTTTTTACTAATTGTTGCTTGTCCGTGTACGTCCATAGGCGGTCGCGGTAAGAAGGGTGGTGGTTTCGCTACTGTCTCCTCCGCGTACAGGGTATCTATTGGTTTATGATTTTTCTCATTTGATTTTCTGGTTTTGATCATACTACGCGACAGTAGTTTCACACTCATCGAAGCTTTCTCTATAAAGGACATAGTTGAAATTTTTTAAAACATCATTAAGGGTCAACGAGGCAATGATCCCCTCCGATATCCATTTCTAAATGTTTTAATATTTTTTTTTAATTTAATTGTATTTTACCAAAGACGCACTAAAACATTACTATGTGCGTCAAAAGCGTTAACAAACATGTAATCTGGATTTTTACGGTTCTTCTACTGTAGATTTACAATATGGAACAGTTTACTGATTCGTTGCTTTCTATGTGTGAATGTTACTTAACTACTTTTGTGTTTTGTTTTATTGTGCTCTAATTTGTGTCCATTATACCATTAAAATACTTCATGTTGTTTTAATCACCTCATTGGTGTGCCGCTTTATATGTTTAAAAATATTATCTTTACCAGTAAGTGCGAAAATTATAGTAAAAAAACAGGTTCAAATTGAATGTATTCTTAACGCTTCATACTAACAAAACTTTTGCCAGGAAAATGCTTTATAATGATATCACGTTCACAGGAACAACTTAACAACCTGATGACAACTCTGAGATCCACCCAGCCTCACTTCGTACGTTGTATTATTCCCAACGAATTGAAACAGGCCGGTAAGTAAATAATTGAGTTTATTTTAACATAACTGAAATCTTTTCAACATTATTCTAAATAGCAAAATGTTTTGCACTATACTCAGCGATGAAATCATCTGGAAGCAGTATAATGCTCCAAGCAAGATGCCTAGTGCTACAAAAATAAGATCGAGGAATTGCGATAAAATCTGTTTTATGTTTTTCCGAAACCTGTTTTATGATTTCGTCATCTCCGCTTGAAACTTTCGGGAATAACAGTTTCAATTTTAATTTCAACTAGTCATAAAGATCTTAAACTGTGGGGTATCCGTGGCTGCTTTGATGTTGCCAATGAGAACTTGTCGAAGATCTTTTGATCACCTCATTAGATTGGCGGGGTGTTATTAACCTCAATGTCTCCATTAACCAGGTCTCATCGACTCCCACCTTGTGATGCACCAGCTCACCTGTAACGGTGTACTTGAAGGCATCCGTATTTGCCGTAAAGGTTTCCCCAACAGGATGGTGTACCCCGACTTCAAGCTCCGGTGAGATTTTGATGTCATTAACATGTCAAAAAGTATACCAAGCGTGCCGTTCAATTTTTATCGAACATGAAATAACTTTCAGCAAAGGTTATTTTAGTAAATGGACGCACGGCATACCACTCTAAACAAATTTATTTCAGCTCTGGAACATTCTTGCGGCTGGAATATAGTTTTATTCTAGTCCTGTCTGTAATTTTGACGTCATTGAAACATACGAATAGCAGTGAGCAACCACGTCTAAAATTATTTCGCGACTTAGATTCTGTCATCGGATTCGCACCTGGACCACTTAGTCATCGGCTTTTATTAGCAACGCTCACTTGCATATTGCTATTTATAATAACAACATATTATTATGAACAGTTACATGATTCTTGCACCCGCCCTCATGGCAGCCGAAAGTGATCCTAAAATAGCAGCCCGGAAGTGTCTGGAGTCTATCCAGCTCGACCCTGAGAGCTATCGTATTGGTCATACAAAGGCAAGATAGGATTAGATTAAGCATGGTAAAGAATTTAAGCACAAAGCTCTAAAAAAATAGAGTGGACTTGAGTAGCACCCACGTTTTGACTTTCCCAAAAAAAAAAGAACAAACAAAGGAATATAGGACATGTATATTTTTTGCACCTGTAGTATCGATGAAAAAATTTTGGACGATGTGAAAGTTTTGTACCAGAGATGCAACACCAAAACGGGAAAATGCAAATGAACTTTGCTATATCCAACTGTTTGCCAATCACGGTGAACAGCAATAGACTTTATATATATATATTGTATGACATTAGCTGATTGTGTGCGTGTATATTTTGACAATGTAGCTACAAGATCCTGGCCCCTCAAGCTGCTGACAAGGAAACCGATCCTAAGAAAATCGCTCAAGTGATCCTGGACGCCACGGGCTTAGACCCCGAATCCTACCGTCTGGGTCACACTAAGGCATGTCAACAGTCCGTTTGAGTAGTTTAGCGGTTTGACGTCATCGGCCCACGACACACCCGATCGTTCGCAACCTCCTTCCTTGTATACCGATTGAGACACATCCTGACGGTGTCGCAATTGTCCCTAAACCTTAGAAACCAAGGTCGCTTCCCTTTAAGAGCCCACGCTACATAGGCTCGTTTGTTTCCACCACGAATATGTATGTAATTGTGTTTTCATATTTTGTGTGCTCCTTAAACGCAGATACAAAATTCTGTGCCCGAACCTCCTCAAAGAGCCAATAACAGCAGAGAAAGCCACTTCGAAAATTCTCGAACATACCGGCCTGGATTCCGAGTCTTTCAGGCTCGGAAAGACAAAGGTAGCATATTGTGCTCGTGATGTATACCTAGCATGCGTACTATCACAACTCTGCACATGCACTAAATGTCTGTAGTTCCACCCTGTCTCTTCATCATAACTATCTAAAATAACATTACTTTTTCTCGTGAACTAACATTTTATATCTATTCTATTAAAAAATATTATATGTAATCTTGTTCACCAGTGTTTTCTAAAAAAAACTGTTTGTGTTATTTAATGTACTTTTCATAACCTCGTCTATCGGCACCGCACATATGTATAACACTTGGAATCGGTGGGCAGGTATTCTTCCGTGCTGGTGTCCTGGGTCAGATGGAAGAGTTGCGTGACGACAGGTTGTCCAAGATCGTATCTTGGATGCAGGCCTACATCCGTGGTTACTTGTCTCGCAAAGAGTACAAGAAGCTGCAGGAACAGAGGTAAAATGGCATTTCAAAAAATATTACAGACTTATATTAATGTCAACTCCAATACACCTATAAGCCCACAGGACATTTTTAAAATTTAAGTTTCTTTTATTAGGTTGGCCCTCCAAGTTGTCCAGCGCAACTTGCGCAAGTACTTGCAACTCCGCACCTGGCCCTGGTGGAAACTGTGGCAGAAGGTCAAGCCCCTCCTCAACGTCACCCGCATCGAGGATGAGATCGCGGTAAGCGACGCTCACCATAGCTCACATGAGTAATGGTTATACACTCTGACCCATTAAATTCCATACAATTTTAGCCGGCGTGATTCAGGGAAACGCAAATAGATTCGACCGCGCCCACCTGTCGGTTACGCGCACACCGCAGCACCTGCCGTATCCATTTCTGGCCGCCGCCCCCGCCCGCCGCTGCCCGCATTTTCCACGCTCAATGTACTGCACGCGGGGGCGGAAGACCGCGGCCGCTGGAGAACTCCAGCGGGGCTCAGTAGCGGATCGGTCGGCGGCGCGCGCACCACCCTTCCATACCTAACGAACGAACCGAATAATAACATTCCTAGTTTTAGTTCATGGTGTGATCGATTGATTTAACGATGGCCGATTATCACGTGTCGGTTTGGAACGGTGTGGATGAAAGTGGGGATCGTTTGCAGAAACTCGAGGAGAAGGCGCAGAAGGCCCAGGAGGCCTTCGAGAAGGAAGAGAAGCTCCGCAAGGAGGTCGAGGCCCTCAACGCTAAGTTGCTCGAGGAAAAGACAGCTCTGCTGGCTACCCTCGAGGGAGAGAAGGGCTCCCTGTCCGAGACCCAGGAGCGCGCTAACAAGCTCCAAGCTCAAAAGGCAGACCTCGAGAACCAACTTAGGGTAAGTAGGGTCTATTCCATTTTTAATTTCTTTTCTTTTTGTTAGTTTAGTTAATTTAATTCGTTAATCCACATTAACTTTTCAAAACTCCTAAATGAAGTATATATATATATCAAAACGTTAATTTTTAGCCCTTTCGAAATCTTGGGCTTCCAACACAATCGAATGTTTAAAATTATCATTTTATTACAAGCTACTGGAATTCGATCTTGCTGCCCCAGATTATGAGTATACTTTTGGGCTACTGGGAATAAGATATATTTTATGTCACTTCAATTTATATCATACTTAAGTTTTGGCAATAACAAAGAAAAGAAAAACAGTTTAACGTGAGTATCCAAATATGTACAGGTTTACGAACTCCAAATCAACTCACTAGGTGTATGGTCGAACGTGGTTCTTTAAATAAACACGTGATTGTTTATACGAAAAACGGCTCGGAAATGTTTGAAAAGGTATTTCCAGACCGCAATGTGCACAGTTTATTGCAACTCTTATTGCTTTTCTAATGTGCGGACCGACATTAAACAGATGCTATTAAATCGGTTCATTTAGCGATTAACAGCGGATATCCGAAATTGATTTAGTATATTTTTTTACATTAGGACACCCAAGACCGGCTTACCCAGGAAGAGGATGCCCGGAACCAACTCTTCCAAGCAAAGAAGAAGTTGGAGCAGGAAGTCTCTGGCCTCAAGAAGGACATTGAGGACCTTGAGCTGTCCGTCCAGAAGTCCGAGCAGGACAAGGCCACCAAGGATCACCAGATCCGCAACCTGAATGATGAAATCGCCCACCAGGATGAGCTCATCAACAAGTTGAACAAGGAGAAGAAACTGCAAGGCGAATCAAACCAGAAGACATCCGAGGAGCTGCAGGCCGCTGAGGACAAGGTCAACCACCTCAACAAGGTCAAGCAGAAGCTCGAGCAGACTCTGGACGAGCTTGAGGACTCTTTGGAGCGCGAGAAGAAACTGCGCGCCGACGTTGAGAAGCAGAGGAGAAAGGTTGAGGGTGACCTCAAGCTTACTCAGGAGGCCGTTACCGACCTTGAGCGCAACAAGAAGGAGCTCGAGCAGACCATCCAGCGCAAGGACAAGGAAATTTCCTCGCTCACTGCCAAGCTTGAGGACGAACAATCTCTGGTTAGCAAGCTGCAGAAACAGATCAAGGAGCTGCAGGCCCGCATCGAAGAACTCGAAGAGGAGGTCGAGTCAGAACGCCAGGCTCGCGCTAAGGCTGAAAAGCAGCGTGCTGACCTCGCCCGCGAGCTCGAGGAGCTTGGTGAGCGTCTTGAAGAGGCTGGAGGCGCCACCTCTGCTCAGATTGAGCTCAACAAGAAGCGTGAGGCTGAGCTCAGCAAACTGCGCCGTGACCTGGAAGAAGCTAACATTCAGCATGAGTCCACCCTGGCTAACCTCCGCAAGAAGCACAACGATGCTGTTGCCGAGATGGGTGAGCAGCTCGACCAGCTCAACAAGCTCAAAGCTAAGTAAGTATTATGTTTACTAGTTGTGGTGTTGGACATTATAAAAAAAGAAATTAAAAATGAAATTGTATCTTAATTGTAACTATTGCATATATCTGTTTATAATAGTTTTGATAATAGCTATCGTTTTCCAAATTAAAAAAATACAATTGAGATGTTGAACTGACCACCGATCATAAGTAAAGGCAATCAAATTTGTCTAATTTTATCAATAAAGCCTATGAATCTGATCCTATGAGGCTTTCTAGTAAAAAGTGATTATAATTGAATAAAGTTAAAATCTCTTAGCGTCGTAGTACGGTAATGGTTCATTGAATTATCAAAATTCAGGGCTGAACATGACCGTGCATCTTGCTACAACGAGCTTAACAACACTCGCGCGTCAATCGATCAAGTCGCAAGGGAGAAGGTAACATGTCGCCCATATAGGCATGGGTGCCTGGGTTGAACCTTGCATGGTGTATCCTTGAACGAACTGAAAACAACACAACACCACGACATACACGAAGCTATCTAGATTACTTTTAGGGTTATTGCCCCTTTTAGGTTTGTCGAGTCAGAAGTGGTATAAAGACGAACTTAATTTTATAACTTTATTTCATCCATTCAGGGCTGAGAAAGAGCGCTCTCAATACTTTAGCGAAGTCAATGACCTTCGTGCCGGTCTCGACCACTTGTCCAACGAAAAGGTACAAAATGTGAAACATGATATGGTTGGCATCAGCAGCCTCTGGATACCGCTTCGCAGCTTTCGTTTTTACAAATTTTGAGCAGCTAAAATAGATCAAACAGAACACGTGTAAACACATGCATCATATCATAATACCAAATAACAACTAACCAATTTTTACATCAGAAGTAGCGCATGTAGGCTAAACGCTATAAAATAACGGGTGTCCTGAATGAACTAAATAAATTAACAAGATATTAAATTTTTAACTTTTAGTGCTATTCTCTGCACTTGCGATGAAATATAAAAGTCTACATATTTTTAAATAAACAAGAATTAAATAAAATGCATGATTAATGAAAATGTATATCCTTCGAATTTATACAAAAAATAATATCCTTTTCAAGAAAGACTCATTTAACATTAATAATTTAAAAACTTTATTAAAAATGTGTTTTTGAAATGTTGATGACAATTTTCCAACACCAGTTCTGTTAACAGTATACATAACGTTTTTTTTTTATTAATGATTACTATTAGGCTGCCCAAGAGAAGATCGTCAAGCAACTTCAGCACCAGCTCAACGAAGTCCAGAACAAGGCTGATGAGGCTAACCGTACCCTCAACGACCTGGATGCTGCCAAGAAGAAGCTCTCCATTGAGAACTCTGACCTTCTCCGCCAGCTGGAGGAGGCTGAGTCTCAGGTGTCCCAACTGTCCAAGATCAAGGTGTCACTCACCACCCAGCTTGAAGACACTAAGAGGCTCGCCGACGAGGAGGCCAGGGTATGTTCATCTAAATTATCTTAGTAATTATTCCCTATAACATAGGACTCATTGTTATTTTCATGAACAAACAATTATTACTCAAACAATTATTTATTATTTCTTACAACAGGAACGCGCTACTCTTCTTGGCAAGTTCCGCAACTTGGAACACGACCTGGACAACATCCGTGAACAAGTTGAAGAGGAAGCTGAAGGCAAGGCTGACTTGCAGAGACAGCTGTCCAAGGCTAACGCTGAGGCTCAACTGTGGCGCTCCAAGTACGAGTCTGAAGGTGTTGCCCGCTCTGAGGAGCTTGAGGAGGCTAAGCGCAAGCTCCAAGCTCGCCTTGCCGAGGCCGAAGAGACCATCGAGTCCCTCAACCAGAAGGTCGTTGCTTTGGAAAAGACCAAGCAGCGTCTTGCCACCGAAGTCGAAGACTTGCAGCTCGAGGTTGACCGTGCCACCGCCATCGCTAACGCCGCTGAAAAGAAACAGAAGGCGTTTGACAAGATCATTGGTGAATGGAAACTCAAAGTTGACGACCTTGCTGCTGAACTCGACGCCAGCCAGAAGGAATGCCGCAACTACTCTACTGAACTGTTCCGCCTTAAGGGCGCCTACGAAGAGGGCCAAGAGCAACTCGAAGCTGTCCGCCGTGAGAACAAGAACCTTGCTGATGAAGTCAAGGATCTGCTCGACCAGATTGGTGAAGGTGGCCGCAACATTCACGAAATCGAGAAGGCCAGGAAGCGTTTGGAAGCCGAGAAAGACGAACTCCAGGCCGCTCTCGAAGAGGCTGAAGCAGCTCTCGAACAGGAGGAGAACAAGGTTCTGCGTGCCCAGCTTGAACTTTCTCAGGTCAGACAGGAGATCGACAGAAGGATCCAGGAGAAGGAAGAGGAATTCGAAAACACACGCAAGAACCACCAGCGTGCACTCGACTCCATGCAAGCTTCACTCGAAGCGGAGGCTAAGGGCAAGGCTGAGGCCCTGCGCATGAAGAAGAAACTCGAGGCTGACATCAATGAACTTGAAATTGCCCTTGATCATGCCAACAAGGCTAACGCTGAAGCGCAGAAGAACATTAAACGCTATCAGCAACAGATCAAGGACCTGCAAACCGCCCTTGAAGAGGAGCAGCGTGCTCGTGATGATGCCCGTGAACAACTTGGCATCTCCGAACGCCGTGCTAACGCTCTCCAAAACGAACTCGAGGAATCCAGAACTCTTCTGGAACAGGCTGACCGTGCCCGTCGCCAAGCCGAACAAGAGCTCAGCGATGCCCACGAACAACTCAACGAGCTCTCCGCCCAGAGCGCGTCTCTGTCTGCTGCTAAGAGGAAACTCGAGTCTGAACTGCAGACCCTGCACTCCGATCTCGACGAGCTCCTTAACGAGGCCAAGAACTCCGAAGAGAAGGCCAAGAAGGCCATGGTTGATGCCGCCAGGCTTGCCGATGAGCTTCGTGCCGAACAAGAACACGCTCAAACCCAGGAGAAACTCCGCAAGGCTCTCGAGCAACAGATCAAGGAGCTCCAGGTCAGGCTGGACGAGGCTGAGGCCAACGCGCTCAAGGGAGGCAAGAAAGCCATCCAGAAACTTGAACAGAGAGTGCGTGAGCTTGAAAACGAGCTTGATGGCGAACAAATGGCGACACGCTGACGCACAAAAGAACCTCCGTAAGAGCGAGAGGCGTATCAAGGAGCTCACCTTCCAGGCTGAGGAGGACCGCAAGAACCACGAGCGCATGCAGGACCTGGTTGACAAACTGCAACAGAAGATCAAGACTTACAAGAGGCAGATCGAGGAGGCAGAGGAAATTGCCGCTCTTAACTTGGCCAAGTTCCGCAAGGCGCAGCAGGAGTTGGAAGAGGCCGAGGAAAGGGCCGATCTCGCGGAGCAGGCTATCAGCAAATTCCGTGGCAAGGGACGCGCAGGATCCACTGCGAGAGGAGTCAGCCCGGCGGTGAGTTCTTACATTTTTTCATTTACAATATGTTGCAAACAGTAAGACTATGACTTACTGCATACTAATATACGATAGTTTATAATTTACAAAACTTATGTGTTCAACTTAAATAGATTACAATGCAAACCACCCGAACTTTTAAAGAAATAAAATTCTTCTCTTGTTTAGGCGTCCGTTAAAGGGCGTCCATAGATCACCACAGGAGAATAAGTAAGTGACCCCGAGTGAAACTTTATAGCACCTTAGACAGTGCTAACCCCAAGTTTGCCTTAATTCAAGAGAAAATTTGATCCGACAATAGAAAACATGATTTCACACATGGTCGATTTAATTTATATCAAATTTTCTCGATTTCAGTAACTTTATGTAATTTTGGTGCCGATCCTATAGCGTCCTAGTTTGTTTTCTCTTACATTGATTATTTTTTTTTTACCTCTAGCAGTAACGGGAAAATTGTACTGTGAGCGGCAAGGTTTCCTTGGGCTCTCCCTTTGTGTTCATTCCCAAGGCTCGTGGCATGTGTCCTGCATGTCCCGTACAAATGTTCTGTATAAAGATTCTAATAATATTTATTATTTTGTTTGCAGCCCCAACGTCCGCGCCCCGCCCTCGACGGTTTCGGCACCTTCCCACCAAGGTTCGATCTGGCGCCCGAAGATTTCTAAACGTTCCAAACAACTTAAGAAAAACGGACTGTACAGATTTTTCGTTGATAATAATTAAGTAACTGAAAGTCGTTATAACTCAGTTGATTACATTGTTACGAGAGCGTGAAACGAGAAACTGTAAAAACATAATATGTATTCATCACAACCTTCAATTTTTTTTGTAACGCCAAAACCTTTTTATCTTTTTACGGAAGGCTATTTTGTAATTTGTTGATATTTATTATTTATGATAATTTATTGCCATGGAGTATGTATCGCGTTGGAGGCCGGGGGAGGAGTGCGCGCGCCGCGCCGCGAGCACAGAGACACGCCCCCCACCCCCGCACCGGCGCCACGCGCCCCCCTCCTCCTGCCCCTTTGACGTCCAATAAAGCGATATCGTTGTCATAAAACATTACCTTCGTGTTTCATTTATTTGTTTAACATACCAAAAATTTATTAAATTTATATTGAGTAAATACCATCAAACACCAAAAAAGACTCACTGTATTTAATGTATGGTAAATTAAAATTATTTACAATACACAATATTGCATAAAGTTCTACTGACAAATACCACTGGAATAAAAATTCACTCGAAACTCTTTTCAAACTACTTTTACATTGGAACAATGATAGAAATAAATAAATTAGTCATTTAAAATCATTTAACTAAGCCTAGTACCTGAAATTAGAATGTTAGAGTAATGAAGATCAAAAAGTTAATGAAAATTAAGGAAATTTAATATCAGATATTGCCTGTCAGTGCTGTGAAAGGAGAACAATGGGGTTAATATGTAAATAAACCATCGTATAATCTTCACTCATGGATGTGTTGGCCTTTCAATCTACGCAACGTCGGCACTGCCATAGATACAAATGAAAAATTTTAATGGCCCCTTCAGCGTTATCTTGATTTGAAAAGGCTTATTTGGGCTATTGCTTGTGTCCAAAGTAGCCACAATTTTCAATATGATTGAGAAAGTTATTGATGAAACAATCTTGGCACAACAAATGGTGTTAATTTAGCGTATGTTGTACCCACGTTAGCGATAGTATATTATTATTCTAGCACTTGCTTGTCATCGCTAAAAGTACATTGTCATGACTCGGTGACTTTTAGTAAGACAAATAACTCTCTTTCTCTGAGCATTTTGGGTAAAAAACCATTCATGTTCATTCAAGAGTTAAGATGTTCTGACTTTTAAAGTTATCTCTAATTTTCTTCGGAAATCATATTAGCTTTGCTTATGCAATACAATGCAATACAATTACCCCCTTATCTAACTTAACCCGAAGTCAGAGATGGTGAGTGTGACCCACTGCAGCCCACTGTAACCATTTTGTAATAATTTAACGTTATCGATGTTCGTTATCTGGCACAGGTGTAGAACACGATATACAGTAAAGTAAAATATTAAATGTATTATATACACACATTTCAATCATTTCAAGGTGCCTTTGGTGAAATTTACTAATAAGGATGTATACTATTTTTTTTAGTTTAAATCAGAAAATATAATTATTCCATCATATTTTGCCAAAACTTGACTTGGATACCATTATAGAGGTGTGATTAGCACTTGGGTTTCATGTTAGTCGTCTTCATCCTGCAAATAACGAAAAGCATATTACCATAAAGGCACGAGTATTAAAACAGTTTTATACTTTGGTTCAATTATTCGATTATTTCCAAGACCTTACAATTATAACCATAATGGTAATATAAAAAACGCGTTGCTGAACTTTATTCAAGTCTGAAAACGTTACGTTATCAATAACGATAAAATGGATCAAATTAATTCGCTCGAAAAGTTTATAGTTATATTAATTTACTTAATTTATTCAACAGTTACATGAACATAGTACATTACTATACACCCAATTCAGAAAACATGTAGCTTTTATACATTGCTCAAGGATCGTGTAGAAATCAGTCCCTTTGTTGAAAAGAAAATAAAATTGATAAATTCTCGCATCCTTAGCTCTAGGCAAACGTATCGGTTCCAAAAGTTTGTTAAACATACATAGTCAGGTAACATCATTGCCTTTTTTTTTAATTATTCACAAAAAGTAAATCCGATATTATATTTAAAATGGATTTTGATTTAAAATTACGGCGTTACTTGTAATTTTTTGATGCAAAAACAATGATTTATAGGAATAGTTCGTGAAGCTACATTCTACTTACTTTTTAGAGTCGAACAAACGGTCAGTGCGGATTGGCGACTTGACATAACCTCTAAATGTTTTTACTACAATTTATATGTTAATATAAGACATGATATTTTTCTCAACACACGGCTTAAGTGGCATTTAACGTTGGAAACGCCCATTACTTACTTAATACTCCGCTGACAGCTTATTTATTTATTACATCAATAATTATTTATTCCAATCACCATCAATGTGAACATATATTATAATTTTCATATCGTTCTTTTTTTATGTGAAAAGTGATCGAGCGATTAAGCTCTTCATCTGATGTTAAGTTAAGCGCCCATGGACATCTACAACACCCGAGGATTGCAGATGCGTAAAAAACCTTTAAAAAGTGGGCCCCGGTTACCTCACTCATCAGACGAAACGCGAAAGTTTAATACTTCCACTTCACGGCGGTTTTCTATGATTCCGTGGTAATTACCGCCTGCCCATTCGTGCAACTATGATAGATCCCTGGCCCTACCACAGCAGAGTTCATCCAAGTGATTTAAACTTTGGTTTAAAGCTATAAAAGAATGATCGCAATACGTATTATGTTTATGATATTTGTATCATAAACATAAGCGTTTAACATTGTATCAAAACATATAATACAAATATCATAAACATAATAAGTATTGCGATCATTCTTTTATAGCTTTAATGTGCTCATAGGCGGCATTTATGTATATATGTAGTTGGTTCTTCCTGACGCTATATAATCACAGAATCATACTTAGAACAGTTTTATTACACAAAAATATGTGAGAAAATCATTAAAAGGACAATAAACAAGGAAAGCATCAACAAAGCGAAGGAAGAAAAGGATCTTAGACAGTAAATTTATTCCTTAAAATATTTATTTACTTAAACTCATAAATATAATTATACACATTGAAAATCTACAATAAATAAACAAACACGAAGGATAGTGAAAAAACAACACTGAAGATAAAACAGCCTTAGAAACATCGAGTGGAAATCGAAAGCTTGTAAGAAAGTAAGGAAGTAAACGGTCATAATACAAGCATAATAATTAAACTAAATGATTTCCGTAAGATAAGCAAATAGTTTATACGCTTAAATTATTATAGTACTAACGTAATACGTAAAGTAATAGGGCAGCCAACAGAACTAAAATTGTTACCAAAGGTAAACGAGGAGCGCTGTCGCTTGCTGGCTCATCTGCCGTATAGCTTAAGCTGCAGAAGTCCAGGTTCGAAGATGTGAACTTCTGGAACATGCCCTGGAACTGCTCCCAAGTGCAGCCAGCGTGAGGGCACAGATCTGACGTCAGTTCGTTGACGAAGAATTGCACCCTATACGTCTGTGTGCCCGACTCTTGGCAACTGAAAAAAAAATTAAATCCAGTTCAGAAGATTTGTAAACGCTGAAATTCCAAATGCCAGGCAAATGTATAATGCAGATCATGAACAAAGTTTTCTTTATTCATAGTAATTGTAACTTCTTTTATTGATACTAACTTCATTGTTATTTCTTTCATTAGATATTATTTCTAAAGAAAAAAGAGCGGGTTGAACAACTTTTTTCAACATTAGTATATTAAATATTGTAATTTTAAATTCAATGCAAAATTTCTTATTCATTGAGTAGCCTTCGTATCGTATCCTAAAATCAATAAGATACGCAATCCTATCTGAATTTGTATGACTTATCTTACATGCTGTTGGCATTAGTTAAATCGAGGGTCGCTTAAAATAATCAGCAGCCGCTAGAAGAGTTGTTATCTTATCGCAACATCTGTTAGCCACAATGATAATAGATACGCTTGTCAAAAGGCTAATTATTTTTGCCTAGGAATTTAAGTTAGCGGATTTCCGGGCCCACATTAAGATGACATTAATTAAATGGGAATCAGTATTGAATATACTCACACAAGCTCGTGCAGAATATATCAAAGTGTGAAGTATTTTAAAGAAAAATATATGACAATTTATCGGCAAAATGATCACCATATTTTAACTATATTCCTGACAAAAGTGATAAACTTAAATTGATAACTTCTCCATTACCCTATTATCCATTTTACCTGTTCAAAACGGCGATAAAATTCACAGAGAACGATGCAATTTGACTGGTTTTCCAGAGCCTGTTCGGATTCCTCACGGAGCCTCTGATCGCAGCTGCGTCCTTGAACAAGCCCATGGCGCAGAAGGCCATCTCCAGCATGGTGTCGTGCGTGAAGTAAGACACCACGTTCCTGCCGGCGCCATTAATGACAGCGTCGAAGCTCTCGTACAGATCCTTAAGCACGGGCCCGCCCAAGTTGACGTTTACCTGTAAAATTCAACAAATTAATCGGTAGACAGTAAGGGTAATATAAATAATTAATAACAAAAGCTGCAACCGTTAACTGGGTGTCCTCACCACTTAAGGGCTAGAGGTCACCATCATATATTTTACCAATCGAGCAGATTGAACGAGATGAAAGAAATGTGTAGTAATAGTGGAAAAATCAATAATCACCGTCTTTTCTTTCGAAACTTTTAGCAGACTTAGGTCATTATCCATACGTATATGTTAGGTAATGATATAAAATTATGTTATCAAACAGCTCACCCAAGATCCATATCCATTTCTGTGATAATGCCGTACATCATCCCTGTACTCCAAGACTACGAGATCCTGGTCCGAGAACGCGGCGCACCAGGGAGACTGTTTCGTTGCCGTCCAGGATCTGTAGAAGCGGCATATCTCGTACAAAGCATAAACATCGTCTGAAGACAACTGGGTTTGTATGCCGAGACGCTCCTGCACATTTCTCTGGACCTGACAACGGGGAAAGATAATTATAGCAACATTAAAATAATAAGGTTCGATGGGACTGACATAACCATATCTGAGTAAAAGTCATTAACTAAAATAAAGAAAAAAAAACAATGAAATCATATAAAAAGTTCATTGCTCACATTTCTAGAACGAGAAGTCCTCATTTAATAATTTGTTAACATGCCTCATCATAATCGTCCTGCCTTTCATATTAAAATAACATTGAAATGAAGACAATACATAATTTGGTACAAACGGTGTAGTATGTGTTAACAGTCCTTATTCCCTGGGAATGTTTTTGATGAATTGAAAATTTCTTATCCCATTGGCGCTTTTCGGTGTCTTGACTATAAAATATCTCTGCTGGACTCATTAAATAGAAACAAAAATATGCATATACTTTATTAACTTTGTAAGACTGTCAGTACCCATAGACGTGATAATTTATTTTCTGACCATGAATTGAGCTAAAATTTTGATCACAATATCGGATTTAAAATACTCACAACTTTAAACTCATCAGTACTAAAATATGCTGCCATCTCATCTACAAGCTGTTGGCCACCTTTCACGTCAATTTGGTATCTATCACAGTTCTGATATGGCTGAAAAATTATGAAATCGAATTCTAAAAGTTGAATGGATTCAAAAATTTGAAGTAAAAAATAAAAACTCGTTATGATTTCTTACATTTAAATAAAGGTGAAATAGGTTTAACAAAATAATTTCACTATTTTAATTCCGCAACGGCAGAACGGATTCTGGTGAAATTGAAAAGACGCACCGTTAATGTGCGGGTGGAATATGTTCGCTTACTCGAATGATATCATCTCTCTCCCAGGGTCCGTCCACAGTGAGATTCAGATTGGTGCCTTCAGCGAGGCCGTGAACGAAGGCCATTCCGCTGGTGACAGTACGCTGCTCGTTGGTACTTCTGAAGTAATACTTCCCATCGGGACCTTGAAGCAGATGAGGGTACCTTTCTCTGATGCGTTTGGCTATATCGTAGAGCTCCTCGTAGCCAGTGCCAGTGAGGAAAGACTGTGACACCTCAAGGGTTTCGTTCCATTTCCATTTGCGGAAATCTTCAATCTCCTGTGCCGAGATGTTGAAATGAGTATCAATATATACTAATAAAAATTTCAACTAAACATCAAGATTCATGAGTTACAGCCGGGTAACAGTTTGGGTTTTCCCATTAGTTGTATTGAACATTTATGCAGTATTAGTAGGGTCAGTGGAGAATCACCTTCAGGTAAAGAAGAATTTTTACTAACATATTTCATCCGTTCTTCTACAGAAAAGAGAACCCGATTAAATTAAACGCTGGAAAAATTAAACACCGGATTAAATTTATTAATTTAATCCGGTGTTTAATTTGGAGGATTTAAAATATCATAATGATACAATAGATGTGCATTGTTTAATGTTCAGGAAAAAGTGTAATTATTTAAAAAAAATCAGTAGATGACATATAGGCTGAAGGTAATATGCGGACAAATGATTTATAGACCAGTAAAGGTTAATCACTTTAAGTTCTCTTTACCTGCGAGCATAGTTGCCCTCTGCCGCTCTCGAAACTTCTGATGATCTCATCCTTCAAGCCTGCTACCCCCTTAATGCTCTCCGTGACGCTGGAGCCAGGGTTGCGGTTTCCGTGTCTGTGCAGCGACCATATGCTGACGGCCTCGCAATCTTTAATAGTACACCCGTAAATGAATAGAATGAATAAGTAACGCGCAACGGTACAATCATTTCTCGTTATATCATCATAGAGCGTGAGAAATTGGAGTTCGTTATTAGTTTTCCCCTTTACACTAATGTTTACACCAAAGTTTTCTTTATAAACACGCACATATTTTGTCAAAACTAATGCTTCAGGGCACATGCCATCTGTGGTAAAGGTAAACGTAGATTTAAATTTTTATTATCTCCTTTTCTATTTTCCCTTCATAGGTAGTCACTGAAACGTTATTTAACACCAACCTTTATACTGGTACAAGCAACACAAGCCGACGTTTTAATTATAATTTTTATTTTTAGTTTTATTCCAAGAAAAAAGAATTAAAGGAAATTAAAAGTGGCAATTGTCGAGTATATCTATATGTACCAGTCATGAAAGAGAAACAAGACATATATCTTACTCTCCAGTTTCGGGTGATCCCTGATGTCACCTCGGACTGTGTCGTACGGGGTCTTGGTCGAATACATAAGGTAAGGGCATTCTGCGTTCCAATAGCACCTCTCAGCACTGACCCAGCACACGATAAATAACAGGAACGCCCCTCGAAACATGATGCTCCCCTTCCGCAGATCAACAGTATCTTTGTGACAAAATCTATATTTATATAGTATTGACTTATCTGAACACTTGTATAGTTATTTAGATAAGTTTACACTAACGTTGCACACGTCAGATAGTGATATAACTTACAGATTATAAATATTCATTGATAGATCTTAGTTATATTATTTTCTCCGTCAAACTTGTCAATGTCTTCCACCTATAAGATTAAAGAATGTATCTTCTACATTCTCCTGCCCTAATACCACACTAGGTGGGGTCAGCACAACATGCCCTTTCCTTCCATTTTCCTCTAACAGCCGTCATCTCAACACTGACCCCTTTCACAGAAATATCATTCTTCACACAGTCCATCCAAATCTTTCTCGGTCTGCTTTGAACCCTCCAACCACATTAATATTAAGCCGTGATATCTCAGTGTCCGGGCGCTCGCCTTTATTTCAATATACTCGAGCAACCTGAGTTCGATCCCCGGTGCCGGCACTAATGAAGTTTTTAACTTTAAGTGCTGACTTATCACGTGCTCCGCGGTGAAGGAAAACATCGTGATCGTCCTGCATATTTTCGAAATAATAACAAAAAAAAATATTTTTCGAAGATAATTATGTGAAGTCCGCCAATCCGCAGTGGGGCCGCGTGGTGGACTATGCCCCGATACCCTCTGTATAGAGGAGGCCTTTGCCCAGCAGTGGGACATGTATAGGCTGTTACTTTACTTTTTACTTTACTCTTCTAGTCACATGACTTTCATCCCTTCTAATAATGTGCCTATACCATTGATCATTTATATCATGTCATCATATCAAACGTCAACATCGTATCAAGGAAAATAATTTCGAAAATAAAAGTAGAGTAACATAAAGATATAGGCTATATGTCTCACTGCTGGCCTCTTATGAATCCAGGGTTACAAGAATTTCAGGTACGCCAGTTTATTGATATGTTATCTCTTTTCCTCTCCCGGACGTCATTCCGGCTATTTGCAGGTTGCGTTCATCAGTGCGCATCGTACCTGTACAGGTAAAATATCAATTTTTCAAATAATTTTTAGGTTTCTTTTTTTTTTTAATAATTTTAATTGAACTTTTTGCAACCTATTATTGCTAGATATATTTATTGTTGTTTAAACTGTGCCAAACGCTAAGAACTTAAGAAATTTTTCTTAAAATGTTTTGGTATGGCTAAAATTTTAATATTATGTTATTTACGTATATCTAAAAACCCAAAATTAATTTGCCAAACAATAATTCAATTGTTAAACCTTCAGCCAGGCCGGTCCAAAATTAAAAGTTATTGGGCATGTTAGAAGAGTACAATGTACGATGTACAGTAATGAATGTAACGTTTACCGCCGGCCAGATAGCCCGTTAGACCTCCGGAGGAGTAAGAGAGATAGCTTATCTAAAAACTGGCCTACTTGAAATCCTCTCTCGAAAACGTTGCTAGCTCTTTGAATATAAGAGCATAGTCCACCACGCGACCACCGCAGATTGGCGGACTTAACACAATATGTTCGAATTTTTTTTTTATTGTTTCAACAATATGCAATTGTTGAAACAATCCTCACGACCTTTACCTTCACCGCTGAGCACGTCATAAGTCATCACATGCACTAACAATTTCATAATGCCGGCACTGGAGTTTGATCTCAGGTTGCTCGAGTATATTGAATTAAAGGCGAGCCAAGACACTGCTATCCCGGCTATTAATATCGAAAACCTGACACAGATTACATCTTGTTTTTATAATGAATCAATTCGTATTTTTTACTTTTATAATGAAGATTTTAGAAAGATTGTAATAATGAAAACGTGATTTACAAGATTATAAATATAAGTGTGCCCCCTTTATATTTATAGACTTTTAAATGACGATGCTCTGCAATGTATTCGGCGATGATTTATTAAATATATCGACATTTGCACAGTATTTATTTCATTCCCACTTCACAGAAAAACGTTTAAACAAGTTTCACATATGCACTACGCGTGTGCTGAGCCGGAACTAAGACAGTATGATGCCCATGTTCCATATAAAAGGCTAACGGTGCATAATTGCACTTTGTACCAGATTCTCTGCCATTAACTGACTCTTCAGCACTAATATAACTATGTAATAAGTAATTTCTACGTGAGTAATCATTTAACAATATAACATTGTTTGCACAGCTAAATCGGGTATTTGGTATACGGAATTATAAAAACGAAATAAGTTTCAAGATTAATTTTTACTTTTAGTGATAGTCTCTGCACTCAAGATGAGACATTTTAAAATTGTATACTCACCTCGGCCGCTAAGCTTAGTCGGTAAACGTGCAACAGCCGAGGCTGTTGCGTGGCCCTACCACCGCTACCGCTGTTTACAGACATATTTAACATTGTTTATACGAAACTTGTTTTTTTTAATTACTAATATTATATAGGGATTTCTAAAATGAAACTAAACGGTATGAGTTCGCTTCTCTTCGTTAGCAGCCAGCAACTCAAAAAGTCTGCTGATGTCTTGACCTGCTGACGTCCTAATTATCAACTTTAGTTGTAACCGTGTAATGATCATAAAACGATACGTTGTACAATTAAGCTCATACTGCTTTGTGCAAAAGCCGTGTGCCATTACATTAACCTATTGTCATTAAAAATGCGTTTTAATCTTCGATTAGGAATTACCTGGCACCCAGCACAAAAATTAAGTCACCATAATCCCAATCATAATGAATACGTCTTTATCGATTACAATTGCACCAATGAAGTCGCAATATATCTATGACGTCGCGTACATGCCCTCAACACGTGTCGCTGCTAGACTAGCTAGACTAAAAGGCGATAACCGATCAGTCATTGATTAATTATCATCAATGGTGAACAGTCCATAGAAAAATGACTTCAGCTGAACGCCTCGACAGTACGATTTTAAGGAACCAGTGTTTATTTTATTAGTATTAATGTTCTTATATTTAAAATGGATAATTAAAAAGGAATGTGATATACATAGCTTATTAATTATCCATTACAGATTAATTTGAGATGCAAGCAAACTATAATGTCGCGCACAATTTTACAAAACTTACAAAATTGTGATAAATGATACACCTGTCTTATACTACCTTCATCGTAAAACAGAGTAACACATAATCATTATGTTATGTTATTTTAGTTATAGTAGTTTAGTTTTTATGTGAGATAATGGCAAGCCGGTGATTCTCTTGTTGTTAAGTGATAGCCGCCGCCCATATTTATTTGCAACACCCGTAGGGTTGCACATGCATTACCACCTTTTGATAAAGTGGACTCAGGTTACCACGCTCACACGAAACGTTTCTCACTTCCACTTCTTGCCGGTCTTCTTTGAGGTCAGAACTCTTTCAAAAATATAATATGGTGTATTATAGTTTTGATAAACTAACTAACATACTTGGCTATATTCAAACTTACCCAACATTAATGCTTCAAAAACTTCTTAAAAGATAAAGAACTTGAAAGTCATAATCCTCTTATAATCTATGCCTAAATTTGTATAGCCAGCTTACCTGGAAACTGCATATTGAAAACTTGTGCTGTAAAATTTACTCACTAACAGGGACAATATAAACAGTTTTTCTTAACTTCCGAAAACTATTAGCACTAAAAAGTTTTAAATAATACTAAATATAATATAATCATGTTCATCTATACAGATAAATAAAATTGGAGTGTCTGTTTGTAATATTCAAATAACCGCTTTTTACTAAATGCATATGGATGTATACACGGTACATATTTATACCAAAATAACAATTTTTGTCTGTCTGTCTGTCTGTCTGTCTGTTTATTCTGGGTAATCTCTGAAACGACTGGACCAATTTTGACAGGACTTTCAGTAGAAAAAAGCTCATGTAATAAGGAGTAACTTACGCTACTTTTATTTTAAATATGTCATTTATTTTTATTAATGTATATATTATAATTCTACGCGGACGAAGTCGCGAGAACATCTAGTAGAATATAAGATGAACTGCGTCAGCTTTTCACGGATATACTTATCTAAAATACTTAGATATATATATATATATATATATATATATATATATATATATATATATATATATATATATATATATATAATGAATAGTTAATAATCGCTACAGCTATAGAATTTAATCATTCAGCCACTTTAATCTTAATAAACACCTATTGTGTTTTGTATAAAGACAATTACCGACTATTTACATACCAGACATTTTGTACTTGGTAATAAATTCATATTCAACACAAAAATAAATAAAGTAAATTTCAACACAATTTTTATATTTGGTCCACTTGCAACGACAGGTCGGATTTTTTTTGTCACAAAGTGGCAAACGAGCTGACGGTTCACATAATGTTAAATAATAACTGCTGCCCAGGGACATTTGCAACACCCGTTTTTCAACCAATAATAACTTTTTGACATTTACCTATAATTGCGAGTTACTTGTTTTTTCTTGGGCTTCTAATGATTAAAACATGTAATCATTAGAAGCCCAAGACTTTATCTTTTATTTTTTTTCACTTGTTTGCAACCAATAAACTTATTATTATTATTTTAATTTTAATTAAATAAACCCTTGCATCAAAAGCAATAGTATATTATGGAATTCAAAGCGAGTGCCATATCACTACATAGTATAAAACAGTCTTCTGTCTGTCCCTATGTATACTTACATCTTTAACACTACGCAACGCATCTTGATGTGTTTTTTTTACTAGATAGAGTGATTCAAGAGGAAGGTTTAAATGTATAATACATTGCACCCGTCCGAAGCCGGGGCGGGTCGCTAGTAAAAAATAAAATACGAAAGACGTCTTTCCCAGGACGTATAAATGGGTAGTAAGTAAACCCTAATGTAATGTAAATGTGTTTTTGTGGTTTAAGTATAAAACAAAGCTTCATCAATAAACATCAATGCTCATTATTCGTCTAGACCGCGTTAGTTTTATTCTGTCCCTAATCAAGACCACGCACCCACCACACATGAACGAAATGTTTAGATTACACTGAATCTCGATAAATTTATGAATATCGAATTGTAAATGATTATTTTATTCCATATTGACTCTTTAGATAAAAGTCGTAAAATGTATATTTTTATGATGACTATATTTTATGTTTTATTATTATTTCCTTTTAATATTATTATCTTTGCAACTACATGGCTGATGCAGCAAATAAGTCATAGGCGAAAACTGTACTTTCATTCCACAACGAGAGATTTGTCTTTAAAACAACTTACTTTTTCCGCAAATTCTTTTATTGTATTATAACATTAATGAAATGAATATAAATTATTTGAAAACAAAATAAAAAAAAAACTCTATTTTAACCAGTCAAAACGTAGTCTGAAGTAGCAATAAAAAACGCTTTAAGTTTTGTCAGAATTTATTATATGTAGTCGCAAACAAGATCGTAGCTTCTTCGAAGCTATTCATTCTCATCCAACTGTTGAAGAACCGTGAAGAACGTGTAGGATGCTTTAATAATCTGTAACGTGGGTTCAATTCCCACACGGGACAACTACTTTTGTGACCTACAGATAGCTGTTTCGCATCTGACCGTTTGTCAACGTTTAATTTATGTTTTATAAAACTTCCTTACGACAAGGGATAATGTTAGTCTAAAGTAAAAAGGGGCAAAGTAAAGTAAAAAAGGTAAAAAAGTGAAGGTAGTAAAAAAAGTAAAGGGCAAAGTAAAAAAAAAGTGTAACTCTTCCACCTCAGGCCGGTCTTCTATGAGGTTGTGTTGCTTACCCAGACCTGCCTACTCGTGCAACAGTGTTGCGTGGCCCTACCACCGTAAAAAGCTTAGTGGCTAAAGCGTCAGGCCGCGATTGCCGAAGACGTGGATTCGATTCCACAGCGGCGACAACAAGCTATTGCGTGGCCCTACCACGGTTAAAATAGTACACGTGGATAAACATTATATATGGATATCCATACATTATGTTTAAACCACATAGATATGGATTCAAAGACTTCATGAATAAATTCACTTAAATATGAATATCAACTGAATCTTAAAACATAGCCAAATAAATGTTATCGTGAATTTAAATCGAATCCATTTAAAATAAAAAATTGTAAAAACAGAGAAATTCATAAGGGATTTTTATTGTAACCGAGCTCGTCACTAACTGTAGTTACTAACAGCCATGAAGGAGGCGAGTGTGAGTTCAGTGAGTCCGCCGGCGCGTAGTCTCACGACTCGATGGGACCTCTCAACGATTATTAGGAGCACGCGACGGACCCTGCAGCCGCAGGAGTACCAAGGCCACTCATAGGCAGCCACCTTGATCTTCTCACTCTACAAGGCGATTGCTTATTAGGCATTACTTATTAAGGAAACACTAACGACTAACCGTAAGTAGATTATTATAAAGGTATAAGAAATTATGTAGAAAGATATAAATTAAAAAAAAATTATCAACTATTGAAAAGAAACCTGTTTAAATACGAGTATTATAAGTTTTTCAAGTTATGAGAGTAAAGTTTTTACAGTTCGCGCACATAGCGACCCTCAAAAAGTGACATGCTGCTTGGTTCGGATTCAATCTTGGCAACCAAAAACAACTTTTTGACATTTTAATTTTTTTTAAATTAATCATTTATACATTAAAATATGTAAAAAAGTATTTAAAGTCTTTACACTAAAGATGTATAACTTCTTACGTGCGTACATAAGTACGCGCATACTTTTTTTACGTATCCTCTGCTTTCTTTCTCTTCTTTTTAGTATAATACTCATCCCTGAGTTCTAAAAAAGCAGTTCAAATAAAACAAAACCCTGACAGAGTTATGCTGCTGAATTATGTCTTATACTGCTGGTATGTTAAAGGGGCGAAATATAATGAGCTTAGCTTACTACATTATATAACTATAATTATGTTTGAACGACAACTCAAGAACCAAATCAAGTTGACCTGGTCAAGAAGTTCGTTGCCTTGGTAACAATAAAGGAACACTTGCAGCAGCATGCATGACATGTAAAACGCCATAGATATAATCCGCACCAGGTTCATTGTCTCCTGAAAATGATTGCGTTAGTTAAAATTTAACTTGAACACCTTGTTAGTATCACACAATTCGACGACAAATTACTAATGCGCAATATATCATTAAAATCCGAATGTATCTACCATTTTTAATCAAATGTATACACAAAAACGATCGTGCTTGGCGGTTGATCGCGATACTGGCAATGGTAACGTCAACGTACCACAATTGGCTTTCTTAAGAATCATAAAAAAAGCGAGTGAAGGTTCACCACATGTTAAGTGATAACCTCTACCCATGGACATTGCAACACCCGTAGGATTGCAGATGCGTTCACAATAGACCTAACTATATATCTTTACAATGATCATTTAAACTGACAGAAAATCATTTTAACTGCCTGTTTAAATGTTAGACAACGAATCCCTTAATTGGATTTGTTTGGGTACTTTTGTTGTTGTTATCTTTTAATAATTCTTGATAATTTCTATGCACAGCCTTTCGGTGCATCGTGAAACACTTACGAAGGCGAGTTGGTACGCCGTGACGCATATGATGATCATCGATACTGAGAACTGGCCGAAGATTGGCGCAGAGAAGTACGCTTGTAGCAATCTTGCCTGATTCAAGGCCGCCTGATGCTGCTTGATGCAGCTCCGGAGACGGTCTATCAGAAACAGTTCTACGCCGATATTCCGGAGACCCTACGTCATTTTAGTGTATATTTTACTTCATTGAATAATATTAAAAAATGTTAAATAGTATAACTGAAATTTTAATTTCTAGTGCTAGTCTCTGCATGTGACGGAATTTAAAAATTATTATATAAAATTATGGCAAAATTTCTCGCCGTTTGATAGGATTAGGCTGCACCTTCCGTACTAGCTGAGATTCGAAATCTCTAATCTCCAAATTTTCGTTTCAAAGATGAAATTAACGTGAGTGTGATTGCTGTATCACATGAGACAAGCATTGCTAGAAATGGAATAAAAAACATATTAGATAAGGTAGTGGGGATGTCGACTGCTCAGCTAAGTGGCTAGAGCGTCTGGACGCGTAATAGGGAAGGTGCAGGCTTGAATCCTGACGGCGACTCCAACTTCACTGGTATACCTCGGATTATATAGTACCTTCGTGGTACTACCTCGGATTCCCGGATGGACCGATGATCGAAGACACATGATTATAATCAACATGTCCTAATAAGTGATAAAAAATTAAACGTCACCCACTTCCTTTATATATCATGTTCTAGTGTTATCATGTTGCAGTACTGTGCATTCAGCTTCTTTTTCAAATTATTAAAATGGCGGACTTCTTAGTGTAAATAACAAGTTTTAAATAATTTTTTTTTCTAGAAAAATACTGCGCACTAACAGAAAACAATACCAGTAATTTATTTGGAATTGTAAACTTACCGTAGCAGTATGACCTGGGATCTCGTCGCAAAGCGTTTTCAGCGACAATGCCAAGAGTCTTAGCCGGCAACGGCATTGGCACATGAGCGTGGTCACTAAAATATCCAGGCTTACGTTCAGCGAAGCTGCCAGTGTCACTGCGATGCACTGCTTTTGGCATATTTGGCAATTGTCACTAAACAAATCCCAATAAACCATGAAAAAAGAGTTGTACAAGAGAGTTTAAATTTAACTGTATGATATTTTGCCAACTTGTTTCTTTTGGGAAGGTCTTTGAATTCAACGTTTCAATCACTATACCTTATTTATTAAAAATTTTCCAACCTGATGTTAAAGATCTTTGTATTTTTATTACCTAAAAGAATGACTCTAACAGATAAAATATAAGTAACGTGGAACAAAAATTTTTCGCGGTGAAAGAGCTGTCGGTATATTGAAGTGTTTCCATGGCTGACATCGACTCTAAAAATAGGTTAAAAATACTATTTCTTTCTTTATCAAGTAAGACAGTGTTTTTGGTCAAATACACGAACCTGATGAGCATAGGTAATTTCATATGCTGGAGAGCTGGCCGCATCGTATGGGTACCTGAAATTGAATACAGGTTTGATTGGTACTGAGATTGAAGGCCTTCGATCACAGAAACAAAAATAAAAAGGTTTTTTTATGTGATAAAATGACAAACGAGCTGGCGGTTGACCTGATGTTAAGAGATAACCGCCGCCCATGGACAATTGCAACACTCATAGGGTTGCAAATGCGTTGCCACCTTTAAATAAAGTGGGCCCCGGCTACCTCACTCTCCAGACGAAACGCAAAAGTGTAACACTTCTACTTTACGCCGGTCTTCTGTGAGGTCGTGGTACTTACCCGGACGGACCTGCCTATTCGTGCAACAGTGTTGCGTGGCCCTACCACCGTAAACTATGTCTAGTATGACTAGTTGACTTCACGACGATTATACTGGCCCATTTATGCAGCGCGAGTGGTCATGTAAGCTATTGTTGCTCTACCTCAGCGTTATGTTATAATTATGCTAAAAAGTTATGTAAGTGCGTAGGCTGTTCAATGGACGTCCACATCACCTAACTGGTTGAGGATTCATTATCTACCTCGAGGCATCCGTAACAAAAAACAATGAGTTCATCAATTTTGTTGAGGATCATTCTTATAACTGTTATCACTAAAATTATTTTTTAGAAAAAAAGGACAAAATTTTTCGCTTCTGCGGGAATCTCGTGCGGGACCCACGTGGCGCCCAGACGCTTTAACCACTAAGCTAAACGGCTGCTTGCCACATCGACGAAAATCTCAACGTTTTTTAAATAAATTGTTTTTTCACATTTCAATGCTTGGCGCATCTTCTCTTACCCCTTAAGCGCAAATTTGCACTATAATTATTATAAAATTCAAATTACAAGTAGTTAAACTCTATTCTCGTCAAATGTTGTCTAAAAATTATTTTCCTCAAATTCAAAAGTAGTTAGAAGTAGAACTGTTCACTTTGTTAGTTTTTTTGTGCTTATCTTTTAGATACAAATTATGCTATTTTATAGAGATTTTTATTTTAACCAAGTAAGCATTTTTTTTACCATGCTCGTAAAGGTAGTTGGTTTTTCTCTGCGCTCGCAGCCCATCCAATTATGGTCACGTAAGACAAGCAGGCATAAAAGTATAATTGGAAATTCGTCTCCTGGTCACAGCTATAAAAGAAGAGAGTATTTTTTGCTATGTTGCCAAAAACCTTGAGTTATCTATCTTTATTACTGTATTGAACTAAAATAAGTGATTCCGTTTTCTGACTAGCTTTTTTGCGGACCTGAACAATTTCTCCATTTTATTATAAATACCGGTACCATTTTAAAATGTTTTTAGCTACATTCGAGACATTAATGCAAAAAGAAATCATACTTTCTTTAGTTAATTACGGTTCTATTAATTTTATTACAACATTTCCAAATGTTCCTACTACATCTCCTGTTTATTGTTTCCAATCACCTTTTGACAATCTTCTTGCCCTGCTCTCGCCTCTCTGCGATGAGTTCTTCGTGTGCCTCTACTATCATAGCTTGTATTTGTTTTTTCCTTATTATTACATTTAAAATTTTACCGCTCAAAGCCAAATTGGTAAATATGAGAAACATTGTCGCTGTCATTAGGGGCACATCACCCCAGACTTGGCAAAGATCACCGACTTGCACGATCAAGTAAATTCCTGGAATACGCCTGATGTTAGTTATACGAAATTGTATTAGTATTATCAAAATTGGATGAATTCTTGGATGGAGACAGTGTTCAGGCAAACATGGCATAGCTTCGTACGCCAGGTGGAATGATGACATAAATAAAATTACCAGCAGGAACTCGATGCTAAGGGTGCAAGATCCAGGCCAGCAGTGGATAGTCCACTGGCTTTAGATATCCATTAAAGATATGATAGATATTCTATTTAATTTATCAGTTCAACTGGTTAAAAATAGGTTACGAATAGCAAAAATTCTACTAAAAAGCAATTCATCTGAAGATAAATCTTGAGAAGAAACTATCTTTCAAATTTACTGATTTTTTTTATTGTTTCAATTGTAAAGTTAAAATAAATAATGTTCTCATTATAATCTCACTCTTAATAGCATCTTAATTTTGATATCTTTGCATTTCGATTCTGGGTAGGAGTTTATCATAATTTGGAATCCTAATTAATTATATTGGTAAACATAAATACTTTATATTGTATATTTAGAAATACTTGCCAACAAGTAAATACAATGAGAAAACTGTATATATATTGTATAACGTTTTTTTCAATCCAACAAAGTGGTCCGGTGCCCAGAGGCCCAGGATCGTAAACAAAGTCACAGGGACGCGCAATGTTAGATTTACGTTCATTGCAGGGGACTTCATTCTGTATCAAGATCAAATAATCATTATAGAAGCTAAGATTTCAATGAAAATGATTCTAGGTAAACTTGTAATATAAATACAGATTTTAATTGCAGCATTAATATTAAACGAAATGCAAAACATGATTAGCAAACCTTTTCAAAGCTATTTTTATTATTATGTTATATTGTATTTTTGCAACTGCTGTATGATGAAAAAAAGGACATCACCAAATCGTACTCTTTCTGATAAGAGAAATTATAATTCCTCAAATTTCCTATAGAAGATATTTTTATAGAAGATATTCCTATAGAAGATATTTCCTATAGAGAAATTATAATTCCTAAAATTTATTATTCGAAACTATCACTTCGTTTTTATAATGTTTGCTTCGTTCTGTGATATAAAATTATTATTTGAGTGTGTGACTAACGGCCGGTTTCAATATAGTATCTACAGACGGTTTTGATTACTAGCAATAGGTAACTCTATAATACTCACGTCAAAATTCTATCTCCAGTTACCAAATCTATCTGTAGATCGATTATTGAAACCGACCGTTAGTATAGAAAGATTTATTCTTAAATAATATTATTCTGTTAAACGCTTGCTGTTTTCTCGCCGAACTGAATACCGGCCGATACGAGACAAAGGGCTTTCGCACGACAAGCTGTTCATAATCTTCAGAATAGTCAAAAATGTGATCAACTGTGGTAGAACCACGCATTCATACGGGGAAGTACTACGGGCTCACAGCGAACCGGCCGGCGTAAAGAGGAAGTGTCATACTTTCACGTTTCATAAGGTGAGGCAAGTGACCGGAGCCCACGTGTTTGAAGGTCGGTAACGCGTAAGCAACCCCCAAGGTGTCATAGGCAGCGGTAATCACTCAATATCAGATAAACCCCTGCTCGCTTGCCTACTTATCACATTAAAACGAACAGCTCCAAACGTTTGCGGCACATGGCCAGCGCTTTTCACATAATTATCTATGACACATGTTACTTACACTCTGGCCTGTCATTAATTTAACCACTGGCTGCCGGTGTTTACGCTTCCGTCACATTGTTCAAATAAACGTTTAATGGTGGGGTTTATCATGTGCGATAAATTGCGAATATATTCGACGAAGTTTTATCTTTTTTTTTTAATCAACGTTGTTTTATTGTTATATAAGTATGTTGAAAAATCAAAATAACTTTATACACGTATAATTTAACACTGACCAGATTTAAGTGACTGTTTTAAATTTATTAAATGGATTTTATTATGTGCAATTCGGTCAGGGTGTGCGATGGAATCGAAATGTAATTGATGTGTTTAAACATTGCCACACTTATTGGTAAAAAAAATTTTTACAAATAAGTGTGGCAATTTTAGTTTTATGATATCGATAAGCCTTAGTGGGGTCGACACAACATATGAATGATTGTATTACCTAGCCAATTTTAATTGCGACAGACCGCATACCTTTGGAATAAAAATCCAAATCCGGAACAATTATCTATGGGTGGGTCACTCAAATACTTGTCTCATGTGGGAGTCGACTTTCATCCTGGTTTGATATGAATTACAAAAGGTCAACGGTTCGTTAGCTTGAAGTCGCTAGTGTCAAAAATTATTATATGACAACCCAACAAAAGAACCGTTCCTTCCTCACGAGAAAACTCTATTTATGATATGTCACTTGCTATAAAAATTCAAAAATCACACATGTTAGGAGAAAAACGTTTATAAATATATTACTCAATAAAAAAATTAAATTCTAAAATGTTGCTTTTACTGTATTCTGTGTTGCAGACTTGTGAAGTCAAATCATAAATTCATTTTCATTTACTTTTTTTCTTCCACCTGCTGTAGTAAGGTGAACAAGGAATACGACGCCTTGATTATCTGTAAATAAAATAAAAATACTGAATTAAGCCGTTGATTAATATATTATATTATAGCATGTAAGTAGTTAACAGCCACTTGATTTATTTATTTAAAAACTTTTATTTATTTATTTATTGCACATCCATTAAGTAACAAAAGGTGATTAGTAAAACAGTTCTTTATGGACCCTGTTTATAGGGCACAGTACAAAACAAATCATAACAAATTCGGAGAGAGCAAGTTGTATCAAATAGGTACTTGTATAAGTAGTTGGTATTTTGAGTAGCTATTTATTTTTATAAGTAAAAATTGGTTTTAATTTATATATAAATTATAAGTAATTTGGTTAATATATTTATGATGTGAGATCATTATGTGTGTTATGATGTGACGATCATTATGTGATTTCCAGCCTTGAGAGAAATTTCTATTTCGCTCCCCATAGAATTATGCTATGTAAATTGCGTATGCTATCCTATACCATTCGTTGGATTAAATCAGACTTTGTACGCATTAATTTAATTAATTTCAAATTTGATGACTCCATGGCGCAGTTGCAAAACTATTGACTTTGGCGCCGGAGGTCATGGGTTCGAGTCCCACACGTGACTACTATTTTAGTGACCACAGAAAGTTTTTTCGGATCTGGGTGTTTGTCGACATGAAATATACGTATGTTAAACATATTGGCGACACAGAATAATGTTATATTACAGTGCGAGAGTAATATTTAAAAAAGAATTAACAAAACAGTCACAGAGCCGTGATAGCTCAGTGTCCGGGCCGCTCGCCTTTCACTCGAGGGAATAACCTGAGTTCGATCCCCGGTGCCAGCGCCCAAACTCTGTAACACACCCAGCACTACAATTACCCGATACATGTCTCCATACAGAACCGAATTTCATCAGAGCCACAGAAGATCGAGTAAAAAAAGTGTAGCGTACACGGTAGAAGTAATGTTTTCTTGTTGAAACAACTCTTGTTCAACTGTGGTAGGTCCACGCAGCTGCGTCCGGATAAGTACCACGACCACACAGAAGACCGGCGTCAAGTGGAAGTATAATACTTTCGCGTTTCGTCTGGTGAGTGAGGTGGCCGGAGCCCAATTTTCAAAAGGTTGTCAACGCATCTGCAACCCTCGGGTGTAGCAGATGTCCATGGGCAGCGGTATTCACTTAACATCAGGTGAACCGTCTGCTTGGCAACTTTTCACATAAAAAAAGAGAAGGTGTTAAACGAGCACTCGGTTGAAATGATCAACTTAACCTCCATTCATAAATAACTACAATTAGATGGACAACTGGTATTTAAAAGTTCCTCAGACTAGAAAAATACTCAAACGATAATTATTATAATATAACAAATACCCTGCCTGCGCCTACCTCTTCCGACAACTGATTCCCCTGGTAGCAATAAAGGAACACTTGAAACATCATATTCAGCAGGTATGTGCCCATCGACAGCAAACGCACCACGTTTCCAGCTTGCTATAAAGATATCGAATAAAATCTATAATGGATGCTTGTAAATGTTTCATGTCTGGTAGTACTTGACTAGCCTACAGTTTTCTTTAAGTGATATGCACTACGCGACTCCACTGCGGATTGGCTGACTCCACACAACTTCGAAATATTTTGGATTGGCTGACTTCACAATGAGGCAACACATCTACTACTCCATGGTTGTTTCAAATGTCCATGAGCGGCGGTTATCACTTAACGTCAGTTGAACTGCCAGCTCGCTTGCCATTTTCTAAGATAAAAAATTTATATCACATGGACACACCATAAATAGTTATTTCGAGTTAACAAGCAAACCGCAACGTTAATCTCTTTGCTTATATATTTTGAATCCTCGGGAATTATTTATAGGGCGGTTGATAAGTTTATATTTAGTTTATTGGCTTTGGTTTTTATGAAAGATAAGATAGTCTCCTTGTCGATGCATGTCCGTATTACTGATATAATTAGACGACGATAGACAATGTAAATGGTGGATAATAAATATTTATTGGAGCTCGAAGAAGCCTAAAATGACAAGAAATTAGGTGTTTGAATACTACTTTAAATATCATAACGCATTAAAATGATAGCATTTTCCAATTTGTCGTTTCCACACACCGAAACCAGCTGGAAAGCGGTGACGCATATGATCACCAGTGAAACTGTGAACTGCGCCAAGGTGGACTCCGAGAAACAACTCTGCAGCTGTTCTGCAGAAAGCAGCGCCGCCTGGTGACGCGCCACGCAACTACGCAGGCGCTCAGCCACTACCGCCTCATATGCTGCCGGCACTAACAGCTACAAAACATAATCATTGAATTGCAAGCATGAAAGATGACGCTCAAAAATTAATTATAAATGATTTAAAATTATATAAGTTCATGACATTACAAACTAGTGAGTTGCGTTAATAATAAAATAAAAAAAAAATCTTGTAATAAAATTACTTATATTGTCGTATACAATTGATTGTGGTAGAGGCAATTCACGATCAAAAATTGCTCAACTTTGGCGTATCAGGAGCACAACATATAATACAGATATTTGTTTATTTGCACAACGCATTTCATATTAATATTAATTCATTTAGAGAACAATGCGAATTTGTGTTAGGTCTTTTCGTACAGTATTTCTATCGTTGCCGTCGTCCGAAATTTTATCTTGATAATAATTTAAAACAGCGCCCTCTTTTACGTAAGGAGAAAAACTCAATAGCTTTACTAGTTGTATGATTTATGTGAAATAAACGTTAGATGTCATTTATCTTACTTTATGGAATTTTTTAGTCTTTAGGCTTATAAAGAAAATTATATGAGTGTTTGACAAAAATCACCGAGCCAAGGTTAATTAAACTATTGGAAATAAAACACAGCCCTCCGCTCTTTTCGTAGCCTATAAGTTAGCCTATAACAAATAAAGCTTTCCCAAGCGTTATCAGTCAAGAATCTTTTATAATACTTAAAAAATATTACAAATGGAATATTTCAAACGGACCAAAAGATTCTTAAACGACTTCAAAAAAGGAGGAGGTTCTCAATTCGACTGTATTTTTTAATTTATTTTTTATGTTTGTTACCTCAGAACTTTCACACCGATCTCAGAACAGAACCGATTTTGGTGATTCTTTTTTAATTTGAAAGCTGGTGGTCCCATATTAATCTAATAGGTATTGGATCTTGGGCACCGGAACTCCTAACAATCAATTATAAAATGAATACAGAGCGAGATATATGAAGTTAGTTTTGGTTTTCGTTAGTAAAAATAGACCCGTTATTGTCATTAGATGGCTTCCGAAGTATTTCAATATAGCAACCGCTTAAAATTTAGGACCATTTATTATTTTTGTTGTATTCGGGTATTTTGTTTCATTTGAATATATTATATTATATATAAACAATAAGCTTTTTCAACTTGATTTAGAACGGAGTAAAGTTAATATAATACTTACTCGGAATAGAGATATATTATCTTCTTTTAGTTATAAATTCTATAGATTATGTTTTGATACGTAATCTATATGTATAATTAGAGAACAAAAGAGTTTTAAAGTAGTAAATATAAAAAATAGTAGAATTTTGCATCTGACAAAGGTATAGATCTGGTAGTACAAGCGTCAATAATATATATTCCGCTATTTCCCTTGGTCACACCATCACGCGTGAACGGCTGGACTGATTTCACTTTTTTCACTTTTTTTGTTGTGTTTGTTATTATCAGCAGAAGGTGAAAGAAAAAATTTAAAAAATTAACACTTTTCTACATTGCCGTAAAAAAGATTCGTAATAATACTTAAAAGTCACTTGAACTTTAATACCATACCATAAAGTTTAAGTGTTGGGGGGGTTCCGGGAAGGCAAAACAAGCGAGTGACTGTGGTAAAATGTCACTTGAAATGTTAACGTCTCTTTGCTGTGCATCACTACATAGTACAAAACAAAGTTGTACCGCTGTCTGTCTGTCCCTATGTATGCTCACGTCTTTAAAACTGCGCATCGGATCTTGGTGCGGTTTTTTTTACTGGATAGAGTAATTCAAGAGGAAGGTTTATAAGCATAATACATTGCACTCATGCGAAGCCGGAGCGTGTCGCTAGTATATAATAAAAAAATAAATGATAATATGACTGGAAAGAAAAACATCAAAAAGGAAGGGTTCTTACGTCTCCCGTGACGTCCGCATCGTGGCACAGTCTCCTCAGGGCCAACCCCAGGAGGCGAAGGCGGCAGCGGCACTGCGCTATAAGTGCTGTCACCAGGGTATCCTTGCTGACGTTCAGAGTAGCCGCAACGAACAGCGCGAAGACTTGGTGCAGATAGGTGAGCTCGTACGCAGGCGACTGACTGGTATCGTATGGATACCTGTGGAAAAGTCGAACAATTTTCAAACAATTAGTCTCCTTAACCATGAGTAAAATCCACAGACCGCACCATTTAGAATAGGACATTAAAGCTGGTTTTGTGGCGAAAAACCGAAGAGATGCAAATTGATTGTTATAATTCAGACGATTACGTACGTGACGTAAGCGAACATCCCCTTCTATATAAGAAATAAAGGTTGTGAAACATATGCTTTAAAATCCGAAAGACAATTTATTGTAAAAACCAATCTAGAGTACATGATTCAGTGTAGCCAGCCTATTGGGCAAATATAGGTTACTCGTATTTCGAAAAGTATGCGTAGTTCTATTAAGAATTCTTCTTAGCTGTTGCACAAATAGGCAGGTCTGTCCTGGTAAATACCACGACCTTAAAGAAGACCGACATGAAGTGGAAATTTTACACTGCTGCGGTTCGTCAGGTGAGTTAAATAGCCAGGGCCCACTTTAATAAAAGGTGGCAACGCATCTGCAACTTCTTTTCGCACGACGATGATTTACCTACAGATATGCTAGAAACCATGTCTATCCACAAAGTGCTGAACAACATCTGCCGGTTAAGCAAGTTCATAAATATGATTGTTTAAAAATATTACCAGGCTCGGAGAGGTAGTTTGTTTTTCTCTGCACTCGTTGCCCAACCAACCATCGTAACTATAGTGAGGCCCACGTAGAGAACTTGCTGCATAGCTGTCTCACGGTTGCATCTGGTGAAAACGTTCAGAATACATGGATTCGATAGCTAAAGGCCGACACAAATGCTAAATGGTATGGGTAACTATAGTTCTCATTAACTATGATAGGGCCAGGCGGCAGTCTTTCCCACGAAGGGGCAGGTTCGTCAAGAGAAGAGAAGAAGGTCGTTCTGCGTTTCGTCCAGTGATCGGGCTACGGTTACATGGCCCAATTAGTTAAAACGCCGTATGGGTGTTGAAGATGTCCATGGGCGGCAGTTACCACTTATCATCGGATAAACCGAAAGTTCGCTTTTATCTACGCACAGTAAAGGAGTCAGGCGAAACAGAAAGGCAAAGGAATTGGCGTCGAAATGTGATTTGATTTTAATACCTTGGGAGTATCTTTAGGAAGTAGAGAAAGAAATTTACATTAAAGCAACCACAACCCACCATGAACGTGGGGACTCACCGCGACACAACCTCCTTCCCCTCGTCCGTGCTCTCAGCTTTCAGTATATGATCAGCTTCGTTGATAATAGTTCTGATCATCCGCCTCCTCTTGACCAAGTTGGCCAGCTTCACGGCCTGCGCCAGGTTCGTGAACAGCAGGAATGCCGTCCCCGTCATAAGAGGCAAGTCCCCCCAAATCACGAACATGTCCACCACTTGAATTATTAAGTACGTACCTATAATGAAATACAAGAAACATAACTCAGAATTCAAGTAAGTAACAATCATAACACACAAAATGTCATGGTTATTGGGTTTCGTGTAAGTAACATATTTTTTTTTCATTTTCAATAATGTCTTGAAAAGATGTTGCTTAATACCATTTATATCCCAAAAGGCGAAGACGATGTGATTTTATTTACAGCTATATTAATAGATTATATGAGTTAAATCTAAATGTCCTGTCTTTCAGAAGATCCCAATATTTTATGCCCGATTATTTCCCTATTTATTGAAGAAAACTTCCGTAAAAATTACGAGGCCTATCCTCATTCGATGCCTACGTTTTCACTATATATGACTGAGTCTCGGATTCAAAGGCACTGTAATATGGATTACACTTTAGTTGTATTACGTGAGTGATCTTAAGAAAGTATCGTTACGATATGAAAGAGTTTTTTTACAAACAAATTGTCTGCTTTAGCCCAGCCACCTGGCAAGGAATTTAGACGAATTTATTCACCACTTTATCCAGTTACCCGCCTTTTTTCTATTGCCTGCTTTGAACAATAAACCTAAAACAACACATCATAAAATAGTTCACTGTCATGCCAAACCACGAGAGTAAAGCTCACCCAAGAGGAACATAAAGCAAAAGAAACCGTAGAGGTTGTAAAACAGGTTTCCGCTGGAACTCATGCCCCGAGGCGCCCAGAACCCAACAAGCCTTAGTGCAGTTAAGGACGCGCTGATCGACGAGTTAACGTTTTCAACCAGGACCGTCATTGTTGCCACCCCTGATTTTGACTTACCACAGACGATACAAGTTCAATATTAAGTCAGAGGGAAAGCTTGCCACTGAACAATCGAGGCTAGTTTAATTCCCTTTAATTACTAAATGCAGGGTTTCTCAACATTTTTCTCAAATAGATCCTATAATAGAATCTAAAGAGTGATTTTATATCCAGCCTAAACTTTTAAAAATGAAATACATTACAAGGATCCATGTATCAAATAAGCATAATATCAAATTGTCATCAGTGACTCATTGAAAGGTTTAAAACAAACCAAGTGAGTAAAGTTCTTTGCTTGTGTTCGTATTTGCAGTGTCGGTTACATCCCATTTCAGCATAAAATACTGTTAGTATTGTCGTACGTTAAACATTAATAACACTAGGAAATTTGAACTATTGAAAATTTTTGCATAATGCTTTCACCGCTGAAAAGGGTCTTATATCTTAAGTCTACGTGGGAAATTAAAGAATCACTAATATAATATAAAAATAATGAAAGAATTTACCAGTGTCTATTTCTCTATTAACTAAAATTCATGGACTAAAAAATTTAATATAGTTACTTGAATATTTTTTAGAAAAGGTTTAGGACCTATGCTATTTGTTTTCGATAATTACCGCCTTACCCAAGACGGTTGGCAAACACAATTATGTTATTACAATAAATACCGGCTATGATATGCTAAGCTTTTCTTGTGAATACATTTTCTGTGTTTACTCCTATTGTCATTGGAGCGATCAGTGATATTTAACCATAAAATAAAATTGAATCCCGTTTTTATTTGATTATTGTCAAAATCTCCCTGGCAATTAAATAAAAGATAACTTTAACATCCACCAATAATCGACACATCGCTCGCCAGAAAAGTGATGTGTTGATTATTGGTGGAAGGTAAAGTTAATAACCTACATTAACTTTACCTTCCACCAACAATGCATGTTTGCATGAAGGAATACAATCATTGAATTAATATCTAAGATCTTATATTTTCATATGTACAATATAAAACAGTTCCGAACCATAATAAAGTTGGGAAATAAAAACTGTTTCAAATATTTTTATACAAATAAAGTGCATCCATAGCTACTAAACAAAAAAAAAAGTCTGCTGACAAACTGGACTAAACGAATTAATGAATGAATGTATATACTTTATTGCACACCGAAAATAAAATAAATAAAAACTTAATTTAGGGGTGATGGGTACAATGGGCGGACTTATTACTAAGTGTAATTTCTTCAAGGCAACCTAAGCATTGCTATAAAGTCGAAATTTTTAACAGTTTTCAAATATAACAGTGTTAATTAAGAATATTTGGCAACAATTCACGCATTTTTCATGCAGGGTCTAATACAGTAATAACATTACTTTTGTATTACAACAAATACTGAATAATAGAACCAAGTAAATGTCTTTTTTAGTTATTTTTTGAAGATACAATGGTTATTTTAGTAATGTTAAATTTAGTTAAGTTTAGCGTCTACCTAGTTCAGTTGAGAAGGCAAGGATGGCTTCTACACTTCTCATGAGGTTTTCGTGTGACCCGCAAAAAAATATTTTTTGCCTATTTATCTTTCGTTATTATATGACATTAATTTCATAAACAAAAACTCTACATTAACTAAGGATATCTATATTCCATTTATCATGTTTTGCCATTGAAACACAACCGTATTTCTTCTAAACATTTACTTATTTTAGGATAACATTATCCTGTGTTGTAAGGTTGTAACTATCTGTGGGTCACACAAATAGTTTTCCGTGTACCCTCGCGGGAATCGAACCCACAACTCCCCGACGCCCGAGCCACTACCTTAGCAACTGCGCCATTTGGCCGGTTCGGCGTCGGACTCGCGCATGAAGGTTCCATATCATTATCTATAAAAACGGCAAAAAAATCATGTCTACATAACGGATATACATCATCTGTGAAAATTTCAACTGTCCAGCTATCACGGTTCATGAGATACAGCCTGGTTACAGACAGGCAGACGGACAGACAGACAGCGGAGTCTTAGTAATAAGGTCCCGTTTTACCCTTTGAGCAGAGAACCCTAAAAATGGTAAGATAATGACATAACAGCACAGCATACGTCTCTCGACATAAGCGTTATCTGAAGGTCATCTGCCCGCATGTCCCTCGTGGCTGATACTTTATCTCTTCTTTGAATCTTAAAACGGACTTTACTACATCTGAAAGTGAATGTCCGTGTAATTAACTTAGAAGCGAGCACCGATAAATATTCCGTTCTGAAAATTCATAAACTTCTTATTATTTTTTAATATGAGAAGGTGGCAAGTAAGCTGGCGGTTCTGTTGCGTTAAGTGACAACCGCCGCCCATGGACATTTGAAATAGCCGTACCGTTGCAGATGCGTTGCCACCTTTTGTGGCACAAGTGGACCCTACCCACAATCACCAAACGAAACGCGGAAGTATAACACTTCCAGGTCACACCGGTTTTCTGTGAGGTCGTGGTACTTATCCGGACGGACCTACCCATTCATATAGCCGGATCTGTTCCGTGGCTCTCTATCACGGTAACACAAATATTACAAGAATATACACCGAGAAAACGATCACAGAAATACTTTACACATGGTGGAAATAGAACCCGAAATTCATGGCACCGAAATCCATCGCTTGGCAATTGCGCCGAACAATTCGTCATCAAAAAAATCATTATTATTTAAGATTGTGTAACTTTGAACTTACTGTTTTAAAACTGTGACGAATAAATATAATTGTAATGCAAAAGCTGTATTCCAAATGTGTTTTCAGATATACTTTCATTCAATGTTCATTTATATTCTAATTTTAGAACGGTGATAGCTCAGTGTCCGGGCGCTCGCCTTCAATTCAATATACTTGAGCGACCTGAGTTCGATCCCCGGTGCCGGCATCAATGAAATTGTTAGTTTTAAATGCTCTGCGGTGAAGGAATACTACGTGAGGAAACATGCATATGTTCGAAATAATAAAAAAAATTCGAAGATGTGGGTCCGCGTGGTGGACTATGCTCTGATACTCTTTATACAGAGACCGCCTTTGCCCAGCAGTGGGATATGTATAGACCAAGGATGAGCAACGCGCGGCCTGCGGGCCGCTTGCGGCCCCTTAAACCTGTTTATGCATTCCGCCAAGCATTTCTGAAATGAATTTATTATATCGAATTTCTCCCATCAATATATTGTTATAAAATTAATTATAATAAAATGTTAGTACATACTGAACCGAAATATTTTTTGTTCGTTTTTCTGTTCTTTTCTTGTTTGTTTTTACCTTGCATTAAAATTTGTATATGAAATCTTTACTTTTTTTAATTTTATATTTTTAATATTTATTATAAATAAAGTTTCGTAAATTATTATGTGCGGCCCGCCAAAAAATTTGAAATTTAAATTGGCCCATTGATTAAAAGGGTTGCTCACCCCTGGTATAAACCATTACTTTCATATAATAATTTTAATCAACGCAAATATTGTTAGTTAGCTAAAGTGTGTCTGTTTTTAAATGTAATTACTTCTGAAATTACTTAATCAATGTCAAACATTTCGCACGACGGGCATCGACGGGCATCGACGGGGAAGTCCTATTGAGGTAGACCGCAACCAAACTCCGAACTTTTTTATGAACTTTACCCCCACCGTTGGGAACGATAATTTTATGTAGGTTAGATCCAAAACACACGATCTGTACATTTAAAGACTTGTCTCCCAACCGGTGGGAATCGAAACCACGATGCCAGGCCAAGTCTATCGTGTAAAGAATGAATCAAGCGAGCCGCCACCTCGATTCAAAACGCACGTTTTATTTTAAAATTTGTATTAAAGAATGTAACCCACTAGGGGATTGAAAAATATTCGTAATTCTACCTCCCTTCGCTTCGCTATCAATAAATGTAGAGGAAAGAAAACTCGTAATCAACATTAGGAGACAATGCAAGTCGGGCCCGAGAGACGCCGGGGAAACTACGGATCCGGGATGATTGGTCCAATCTGCATATATCACAGGCCGTATTGGAGGCGTGTCTCTGATCCTATTCCTCTAACTTGAACTCTAAAACCCAGGACATGTACATTGCGTGATTAAATGCCTTTTCTTATCATTGCCACCAATTTTAATGTGTAAATGTTGTAAATATATATAGTTTACACAAGGATGCCACTAAAAAAGGCCAATACGGTGGCAGTATCGATGATAAAAATGTTAGTTTTTACGCTTTTTGTCATTATTGATTAACTACTTCATTAAATTTACAATATACTTAAATTTAGAATAATTACTATTCAAACATTTATTACCGATCTTATTTCCCTTTGGAAACTAACTTATAATATTTATTTAAAAAAATATTTTACAGCATAGGAGGATACAAGGATAGTCTATTTCGTGCCATAGTGAAACCATTGCTGGTTGAGACATTAAATGGTGGAATGTTGGCGATAGACCTCGACTCACAGTTAACACTGAAGCCCATTCACAATAAAAACGGATACTGCTATAATATTTTCAGTTGTAACTTTACACAACACAACTCAATACAAGTTTCTCGATACAGCAGTTGAGAAATGAGAAAAAAGTGTCACGACATCCAATTAAATTACATTTACATGCGAAAACTTTCTGCTGAAATTTACTAACGCGAGAAGTGTAGAACGGCCTTAAGAGATCCGCTTACGAAATCCCTATCCGCGGACGGAGTGGGGTGCAACTTGTTGCGATGGGCGTGCCTCGGGCCCCGCCCACCGCACCAGCACGGGCCACCAGCGACGAGAGCCCAGCAGTCAGTCCTGTTGCTGGCGCCGTCGAGGAAGCACGTCTGCAGGAAATGGCGCGAATACTGCGTTTCGACATGAGCTTCCTTTCGCCAGAACGCTGACGTCTACTCAAACATAAGGTACGATTAAGCTAGTTTGAGCTTACCGTTTAAGCGTTTCGTAGCAGATCTCGTAGCACACATGGTAGTGGCTACAGACTCGATTTAATGGTAAAATGCCCATATAACCGACTTTTCTTCCAGATAGGATATATTTGGAAAATGTTTCTACTCGTTAGCAGAAATGGTCAAAGTTTTTGCCCTAGTCCGATTCCTGTATCTCTAAGCCACTGAATGAATGAAATCATACCCTTGGTCTTGAGTACCGCAGGTGTGATTTCATTCACACGGCTACCGTGTAGGTGTAGAATGCACATTTACAGACATACTAAAAAATGTTATGACTTAGTACTGACCACTTGCCGATTTATAATACAATTCACTATCCTTTGCAGTGTGTAAAAAAATTAAACGTACCACGAATACTTTCGCAATTATACCTCCCGCGAATCAATTCGCTGATGGGCATTCACGAATGGGCAGGTCCATCCGGAGAAGTACCACGACCTCACAGAAGGCCGATGTGAAGTAGAAGTACTATGCTTCTGCGTCTCTTCTAGTGAGTGAGGTAGCCGGTGCCCACTGCTTTAAAAGGAGGCAACGCCTTTGCAACCCTATGGGTGTAGCAAATGTCCATGGGCCGCGGTTATCATTTACCATCATGTCAGCCGCCAGCTCGCTTGCCGTCTTATCACATAAAAAAATACTACGTCGATTGATACCTGATAATAAAAGACCCGCCAGACAACACAGCACGCCTTCATGTGCAACATACTGTAGGTCGTCCTCGCCTACGAGTACAGCGAAACCAAACGAGCGAAACCATCACATCGCGACCACAGGGTACACCTTGAATTTACTTAATTAACTCCTTTGCTTAATTAACTCCTTTGCTTAATTAACTCCCACCCAACGAATAGCACAGTGGATGCATGTCCGGAAGAAGGTCCGACAGACCGTAGCCGGCAATCCCTTCATAATGCTGATGCTCACATGTGCACATGCGTGACTTTGCTTAGCCAGGCTCTGTCCAGCTCACGGCAACGTAATCTTTCCACGATCTCTGTACCCGATGAAGTTTTATATAGTCCACGGTCCAAAAATGCTTCTGTCACGACAAAGACATGATAATAGTGATAAATAAATAAAAACTCACATTTTAACTACTTACATCGAAATTAAACATTGCGACAGGTCGAGGTTCATTATTGAAGGTCAAAAGTTGTAATCTTTTTTATGTGAGAAATTGGCAAACGTACTTACCCGGACCAATGGTTGCCCATTCGAGCAACAGCGACTACTATTGCGTGGCTCTACCACATTTATCAGCCATTAGTGTCCCACTGCTGGGCAAAGGCCTCCTTCCATTTCTTCCACTCCTTCCTGTCGCGGGCTATACCGGACCAATCCCTCACAAATGCGTCCAGTTCGTCGCGCCATCTCCGTCTGGGCCTGCCGCGTGCCCGTCTAACATTTTGTGGGACCCATTTGGTAGCAGCTTTTTATTTATTTATTTATTTTTTTGGCCCGCATCAGAAATACCACAGTTAGTCCGAAATTTCAAAAATTCAATTTAAAAACCCCCAAAGGAATCTTTATTTTATTATTCAGCCCCTTAATATTTCCCTTTTTATTGTAACGGTATTCATTACTTTTGCCATGAACTGTACGCCCAAAGCAGGCAGACTTTTTTTTTTCCAGAACATGTGCAGAATACATGTTTTTTCACTAAAATTTTACGCCGTACCTATCAACGTACTAGAGATGTTTTTAAAAATGTCATTTGAGCAGGCGGACTTTATACAAAATAAATAGCTACACTTACGGATAGTTGCGCGATGTTCGTGGATGATAAAAGCCTTAAAGCCAAAAAGGGCTTAAAGTTATGCTCTTTACTGCACCGTGCATTTTTCTGAGGAAATTATTAAGAGACAGGAAGCTATAACACTCTCTCAGTGTTCGCCAAACTTGCTCTTCTGTAAAACACCGTGTCGATCAGTGGTAGGCAAAGTATTGTTAAGGGAGAGATGAACAAACCAACAATCACGCTGAAGAATTTATAACGGTACTAGAGGACCGGATAGACGTTGTCCTGTACACACGACTTAAATAAAAATTAAAAAAATTGTGGTGGATCGAATTGTGAATCAAAACCATTCTCGAATCGACCTGAAGGCACACAAAAAAATTCATTGAAATTTTGTGTGCATATTGGCCAGGGTGGAGAATCGGACATCTACTTTTCATCCTCCTTCATGTTAAGGGTGGTCCACCCCAAACATTTTTTTCTACCAATAATTTATATGGTAAAACAACGTTTGCCGGGTCGGTTATATATATATATATATATATATATATATATATATATATATAAAGATAGTACGGAGTACATACAAGCGAATTATAAAAAAAGGTTACTTTCTTACGTGCAAAATCACTGACTTATATTTCTGCCATCATTGCATCAGGTTCATTATCAGTCACGTTTGGAACTCAATAAACTCTACGAGACGTGTGTGGCATATCTACCTAGTTAAAGTTAAAGACGCGATGGCACGTTTTTTATTTCACTGCTCTTTGCAAAGTAGTCGAAATTCAACCGCAATTATTAAAAGTTTCAATTACATTAATTTTTTGTCCTTTTATGCATACGTAATAAAAAAAATCAAAAATCTATGTAATGATAACATCGAGTTTGTCAATAGCTACTAAACAAAAAGAAAACATGTTGACAAAAAGGAGGCGAAAACTGTACCGAACTTCGTCTTAGCCGAGTTCAGGAATGCGTAATAATAAATTATTGTTTGTTATAGTTCAGAGTTCCGTCTTTTCATAGAATACAGAGTTTTCACATTTATTTCCAATTGATTAACTAAAACGTGGGCGGCCGTCACCGTAACATAAGGTGAACCGCCAGCTCAATTGAAACCTTCTCACATATAAAAGGATATCGCAAAGTAAATTAGAGCAGAGTAAAAGGAAATAACAATCTTTTACCTGTTACTATCAACCAGATTCGAATAATAAGCAAAAACATAACTTAAAAAAACTACGCTGAAATGATTCTCCCTTCACGCAAGACAGCACTCCACAGGTGGCATGCGAAACAGTTTGCGAAAACTTTTCCGAATCTCCTCGCAGATTTATTCGACTAACTTTGCCCGCTTGTTAACAATTTTCAACTCTCCTAATGTGAATAAACGGTTTGCGAGTTTAACAATTACAAACGTAGTTTATTAGTAAATTAGACGATCATCGAGAACATGTATTAAATTATGAGATTAATCAATTACCGGTGTCAAAAAAAATATCAAAGAAATGAGCATGATATATTTATTCATCGCCCACATAGATTTGGGTACTCGGCATTTTCTCTAGATTTTTCTCAATACGAAATAGGTTAACTATTTCAATTTTGGAATTTAATGATATAATAAAATAAAATATTATATACTTCGTATATTATATGAATACGAAGTATATAATATACTTCGTATTTATATAATTATAATTTCGTAATTATATAAATACGAAGTAGATATGATAGTAGCACATAGAAAATGAGACACTCAAATTACTAGTACTTAGATAGCAATTCTATAGACCGCACGGCGCGAAGTATGGACATGCGTCATCTATATATTTTTAAACGTCATCGAAGGAAAGTTTTCTCTTTCGCCACTGGTTTAAAACATAGGAGTATTCGACTTCTTACAGCCCTATTAAATTCTGCTGATGATACTGTTGATACTGTTGATACTCATTATACCGGTATTTTATATTGTAAACTGATATTTTTGAAAAAGAGCAACCGTTGACTTTCTTGCCGGTCTCTTCTCAACGGAAACTGCTTTCCGAACCGGTGGTACCTTACGAACCTATATGTCTATTTTTTTATGTAAAATTTGACGATTCATAAGAACGCGCAAGCGTCTATTTGAATAAAGATTTTTGATTGATCGATTGCATGACAGAAAATAAGGGGAACGGTAAAAAATTCAGATTTTTTGGTGATCTTTTTATAAAAACTTTGGTGGATACAATTTATATACTCCGCCGGATTCGTAAAACGTTCATTTATTTCATTTTTCATTCAGTGCCCGTCAACCTTACCACATTTTACTTTGGGCTGCGTAATTTACTTAAAAACTTTTCGGCCCTTTGCAACCATTCTTGCTCGGCGGCTTTGAATAGTTTGCGTACTTGTAGCAAATTTTTTAAAACTCCTTTTTGACTTGAAAAGGAGAAAAATTCCCCGAAATCCCGTTTGTTTGGATATGTCTCTATATTACAATTTCAGAGTGAAAAAGCAAAAGGGAATAAGGTTATGATCGTGTGTAAATAAATATAAACCTTTAGATAAATGGACAGGACTTGGCATAGTGGATAATGGACCTATCTCTTGTGCCAGAGAATGTCAGTTCGATCCCTAGCTCAACCATATCTCAGTGTCATACGTCATCGCTGTCAACACACACTGGTTATAAACCCTGGTCTTTTAGCACTGCGGAATCAATCAATTGAAAAAATCATGTCAATTGTATGGGAGCCCCAATCAAAATTTTTTTTTCTGTTTTTTTAGTATTGGTTGTTATAGCGGCAACAGAAATACATCATCTGTGAAAATTTCAACTGTCTAACTATCGCGGTTCCTGAAATACAGCCTGATGACAGACGGACAGACTGTCAGACAGACAGCGGAGCCTTTGTAGTAGTGTCCCCTTTTTCGCTTTGGGTACAGAACCCTAAAAACACGGTGAAACACAAAGGTATAATATTCCATTACTTTCGGATAAATTCGTTTCAGTTAAATACAATAAATCATTAGTAGGGTTCTTTAAGCGGTTCCATCAGCCTTTTATATCAGTGTTTAATTACAACAAATACGATGCATCGACACCGGCCAGCAAAGGTCGGCTATATCGCGGGCAGGTGTTGCAAATAGTTGGACGTCGTTACAAACTGTATTTAAGTTACGGATCTTGGTATTGCTTCGGGCGAACTACCAAACTTACACGGACGGACGAGCAATTAACGTGTACGTAATGACGTGAGGGTTGAGGATATAAATCTTTCGTCGATTGGATTGTGCTTAGCAAGAATATCTGTATAAAGTAATCTGATGAAAGTTATGCTGCAACTTGAACGAGACTCTTTGATATGACACCTGTATGCGTATCGTAATTTTATGGAACCATTGTTGTGTACATTTTTTATTTGTTTCTATGTGAAAAGTTCACATAACGTAAACTGCCCGCTCGCTTGGAGCTGGCGGTTCACGTT